AACGGCATGGTGTGGGATGTAATGCACCGGGCCTTTGTAATTATCCATTTCTTTTCTGGACAGCTTTCTTGAGAACTGCATCTCCCTCATTTCTTCCATCTGTTTGTCATAAGCCACTCCTTTTTCTGGGTCTTTCTTAAGGCGTCTCTCCGTACTTTCCAACCGTTTCATCGCCAATGGCTTATTATCCGGCAACAGCATGGGGTCTTTCTTCCAGGGGTAAGGTATCATCCACTGCTTGCCCACCTTTTCACACGACTTGGAAATGATTTCTGCTTCCTCTCTTTCGGCTTGCGTTAGCTTGTCAGCCTCACAAACACACGGTTTAACTTCTACTCCCATTGCCTCAGTCTTCCAAAAATCTGACATTTCTACCGGTGCAGCAAATCTTACATGGTAGACGCGACCATTCACTTGTGTTTCTCCTGACGGTCCACCGAAAACTACCCATCCTAGAGGTGTTCTTCTTGCAACTAGCTGTCCAGTTTGCCTGGTCTGTCCAGTATGCATCTGGGCGTGGTCGATTCCTATTAGTAAATCGACAGGACCATTGCCTCTGCGTATCCTTTCGCTCTCCAGTCCAAGAAGCTTGGCGATCGGTCTAAGCTGGACTGCTGACACTTCCTCACTAATGCGCGGAATTCCAATTGCCTTGATTGAGAACATCTCGGTGTTGTCAATTGATGATACAGGAACTTTGTAAACTTTGGTCTTGATCGTCTCCTCTTCTCCTCCCACTTTCGTAAGTGTTACGGCGGTGTCGTTTCCTTTGAGTCCCAGTGCAGCTGCTGTTTCTTCGCGGATTAGGCTGATCTGCGCTCCCGAGTCAAGGAGAGTGTTGCTTTGCTTTTGGAACCCATTTTGACCGTAAATCTTGCATGTTACCACCGGCAAAAGAGTTTCATGTGGCTCGGAGAGTGACGCGACGCCAACTTTGACTGCGGTGCTCTTGTGAAGCAACGGGTGATGAAAATGCATGCATTCCCTTCCGTTCTCGGTTTTCGTACACTTTCTACGTCTCCTACAGTTGTCAACTCGGTGTTCTCTTCCGGCTGCTTTCATGCAACTAAAGCACACATGGTTTTCTTTGGCGACTTTTATACGTTGGTCGATACCGAGGGCAGCGAATTTAGGGCATGTATCTGGCCAATGGGACGAGTTTTTACAGTACCAGCATTTGTACCACTTCTGGTTGGGAGCTTCGACTTGCAAGGCATAGACTGATCTGCTAGATCTCAATGGAGCAGTAGCACGCATACGTGATTTCATCTCTACGTCCATCCACTTCATCAGTCGCTCTAAAGTTGCTTTTTCTCCCTGACGCTCCAAGTCTCGTGACCAAACCTTTCGATCATCCGAACACATTTTTTGCTCAATGATAGATAGCATGTGACTGTTGTCCATGTCATTTTGACTCCCGACCTCCTTCAGAGTGTTGAAGCTTCGTTTAACCAAATGGACTAAGTCGCAAAATCTTGCATCTTCTCCTGGTTGCAGAGCTCTAAACTTTACTATGTCTTGCGTGATGGTGTCGGACACGAACCTTGGATCTCCGTAAATAGAGTCCAAATAATCCCACGCTGCCTTATAGTCCGAACCTATCCCTTTGATTAACTCTAATGGTTTATCTTGCAGACATGTGCGAAGAAAAGTTATTGCATCTCTTTTGCTGTATTTCGATTCTATCGCGTGCTTAAAATCGGCGCGAAAAATGGCATAATCTCTTACGTCTCCGGTAAATTTAGGCATCTTTGGCTTTTCCATCTTAAAACCACAGGCGCCGGTTGTAGCATTGGGGTTTACTTCATGTCCGGAAACAACGGATGTGCCTTCATGGTCTGGTGTGAAATTATCATTACCGGAACTTGTACTTTGATGGGTGCTAATTGGATTGATTGGATGATCATTATCGCCAGAACTTACACTAAGGGCGTCTTCTTCTATTTGCATATTCAGAATTCCACTACTTCCCGGCTCACCAACACCACTATTTTTCGTTTTAGATGCTGTAGATGTATGATTAGTTTTCATCGGGGCCTTTTCCTTACTGAAGAAAGAATCCAAATATATTTTTGCGTCCATTTCCATTGACATAAAGTCTTCTTGGCATTCCCCCATCCATCCCTCTTGCACTTCGAACTCAGTGTCATCTTCGATTAAACGCGAATAATTTTCATGCTTCGCCACAAGATTGTCAAAGGCTAACTGCAGTTTACTTAGACCATCTCTTACCTCTTGCTCTGGTCTTTTCGCTTCTATTAACTTCGCTAAGGACTTTCCACAGCGTGTGAGCGTTCCTTTGGCAGTCCTCCGATCAGTTTTGGCAGTTTTCAGGGCTTCCTCCGCCATGTGCTCAGGATTGCGTAGTTCTTCGTTACAACCCAGAAATCGAATGTAATGTTTCCTTACTCGGAACTGATTAGATCAAGTGACCACCACAAACCGTATAATATTAAGCCAAGCTTTAATAATTATTCGATCTAAAAGAAATACATTTATAATTCGCAATTAGAACAAACGCAAATCAAGTCTTTATCTTGTAACTGAATTCAAAAACTTCAATATAAACTTACTTCTGTGGCGGGTCGTTACAACAGTCTCACTTTACGGGTTAGCAGATTCTCCAGGTAAGCGGATTTAGAGACAGAAAAACGATAACAAAATAACTTCTTTCTCACTTCGATTCTGCTGAAAAACTGACTTAAACATAATAATCTAACGCTTTTAAATCAATCTATTTAATTAATGTCAATCACGATTCTTGTCATCGAATAAATCTGTCAACACGAGGCAACGCCTATTTATTAAACGAAACAGTGAAGGCAATGTATGCTGTGTGAGGCTGACTCTTTGCAATTTCGGAGAGCCGTTCGATTTCCTCTTTCCATATGCGAATTTTCTCCTCACAATACTGATCTTTGTATTCTTGCGACGCAATGACTGCTCCTAGATGGCGCTGACCTTCAGTTGTTATATTAACTCATCTCCAAACACCCTCATTGCTTCATCTGCAAGTGCCTCAGACTTAACAATCAGCCAGCTCTTTGACCCGTTCACGAGATATCCAAACTTTTCTCCCTCTTTAATCAATTGCTTGTACTAGTCTTACAACTGCGCGATTCTCCCTCCTCCAGTAGAGTCGTCTGCAAGCCACACCTGTTTAACCATCGGAAAGTGCGTCCTCAGATTCTGAATCATTATAGATGTATTGACTGAGTACCGTGGCATCGCTAGGGGATCCCCCTGCGTAGTGACTTCTTGTGAAAGTATTCCACCTTCACCGCAGATGAACAGTCTAGATGGGCTTCTATAGGTGTTTATTACATAGAGCGCCATTTCTTTACACATGATCTGGATATTGTGCAAAGCCGCTGACCTGTTCATTTGGTTAAAGGCGTTACTTGCATCAATCAACAGGATCCCATCTGTTCCTTCTTCTTCAAACACTTGGCTCATTGCATGTATCGCAGCCTCCACTCCTGCATTATGACCAGCACAAACTTGTAGAGGACCTGCCGCTTCTTTTATTTCCTCCTTTAAGAAACCGCTGACCGTTTTTCCCAATATTCGCCTTAGGACCTCTCCAGCACCAATTGGTCTGATTCCAGGGTTCTTGTCGAGCGGGATGAGCCTGCAAGCTGCAAAGGCTTCGAGTAAAGATGGATGGTACGATTTCTTAAGCAGATTTCTCGTGGACACAGCTATCTCCTCTCTCAGGATTTTACCCTCAGTCTTAAAGTTCTTAGAGCAAAGGATTCTCCTATAAAGCTCCGAGTCCATTCCAGATGGCCCTGCTGAGCCCTTGGTTTTGCTTGCTGAGTTGTAGATCATTTCTTCGTCTATGAGATCATACACGTTTGGTGGAATATAATCAACTGGACCGTGCGACAAATTCTCCTTTGGTGAATATCAGCCGCCTTTGGGTGCTTGTCATGTAGCCCTCGCAGGACGTCTGGTGATAGGTCGAGCAGGCCAGACGAGCTCTCGTTATCTAGGAGTTTCATTGCAGCTGAAAATTTTCCTTGCAGAGTCAGTTTTGAAAAAACTTTGGATACGTCCTCGACCGTCATAGCTTTCTTAGAGTTCACAAATTTCTCCTGTAAAAATTTAACTTCTTTAAGCGACAAATCAAGGTTTCCTTGTTTCCAGAGAGCAAATCGACGCTCTATTGCTGCGCTGTGTTCCTTGCTTTTAGAAGTAGCAGACGGTGTTTGCAGGATCAAAGTTGGGAGCACCATGAATGCTTTCAAGGCAACTGAGTTCAAATCAGAATCTGCATTGAACTGCTTAATCCAGAAAGTGAATTCTTCAATGAAACTCTTCCCTGTACGGCCAGATGGTACATTGAATATATTTCTCCTGTAGTGGACGATTTCGTCGTAAACACCATTGACAATATTACAGAAGCTCGCGTGGCTAATATTACCCCATGTTTTGTTCTTTATTTCGGAAGGAAACACCTCAAAATCGGGCAGATTTAGTTTGATTTTGTTTTGATCTGTGACTATTGTACTAAGCAGTCCCGTGGAATTTGTTACTGTCTTATGCAAATCCGAGTTTACGGAATTAGCATTTTCAAATCGGTGTTCACAATTGACAGTGAAGACGTAGACCATATTTTTTCAAAATGATATGTACATGTTTTATTTCATGATCAAATATCGCTTTTTTAATTTAACTAGTTTTTATTCCTCATTAATATTCATATTCTTGATTATCCGGACTATTTCGTCTAGTCCCACCGAGTCCGGATAATCGAAGTTCAACTGTACATGTCGTTTGACAATAAACAGCTCTTGCACAGTGACTTATTGCACAGGGTAAATCTTACTGTTAGACTCTTGTTTCCAGGTCTGGTAAGTGTTGATAAAGATCTTTTGAGTCCAACACCAGAGCGATGCAAATTTCGACGATCGAAGAACGGTGATACAGCAAAACGACCTTTATCCCCAGTCCTTCTCTTTTTCATTCTGTGTTTGTTTGCCAAGTATCAAGCAAACTCTTGGCCTCTTTGAAAAGGTTACAGATCATTTCATGTAAGACCGTAGATGGCTTTTGGAGAGCCTGACACAATGGATGATTTGGAGACCTATGCTGCAAGACATCTAGACCAAAACGCTTTTGATTATTATTCTACAGGAGCAGACGAGGATGTGACTTTGCACGAAAATCGAGAAGCTTTTAGAAGGTAAGGTAAAGACCTAGTCCAAGCTTTGTAAATCACGAAGACACGGAATTAAACCTATCCAAAAACTTAACACATCATTCGAGGCATAAGCGAAAAACGAAAGGTTGTAATATCTAAGATGATAAATTGGAGGACTCATGAATATTTCTCTCGATAACTCGAATCATGGGCCCGAGGGTTATCGTAATTTCTTCCTGTCGGTAATGTTTATATGTACGATTTTACGCCAGTAATTAACGGCGTAATTTCTTCCAATCGGTAATGTATTATGTAAGATTTTACGCCAGTAACTAGATCAGTAGCACGCTTGTCACGTACAAATAGTCCTTTTTACAGTTCCTGGCGCCATATTGGATTAGTAACCGCGCAAACACGATAGCGAGGCTGCCGGTGACCCGATTCGGGCATCGCATAAGAGTTTGTTGGTGTTTTCAAGCGTTTCGTTGGTTTGTCGAGTCTTTGGTGGGATGAATGAAAGCTTAAGCGTCGGGGAAACATCCTCCGCCCCTCGAAAGAGAAGAGGAAAGTATTGTGCAGCCTTTGACTGCAATAATAGCGCCTATAATGTAAACGGTACTCGTACAAGTTATCATTTCTTCGAGTTTCCCAAGGACGCTCAGCGAAGGAATCGGTGGTGTTCACTTATCAAGCGACGACACGGACAGGACGGCTTTGTTGTTTCCACCGCCACTGTCCTCTGTCATGAGCATTTACGGGCAGAAGATATCTCGAAAAAACTTTCTGGTCGCTGGAATTTGAAGACAGGTTTGTGATATTGTCGAGCTTTTGTTGTGTGCGTTCGTGATTTGAGCTATGAAAAACTCAAAATTCAAAGATATTTTGATCTTTAGAAACAAGGATTCGTTTAATTTTTCCCAAATCAAAGATTTTGGTTGTTTTATTCGACGATTGTTGTTTTATTGTAAACTTTATGATTTAAAGTGTTTCATTTCTTGTGATTGTTGTCATTGAATGATAGAATATTTAATGTATGCTTATTAATATTGCTGGACTTCACAAAAGCAATCAATTTAATTGCAGATTAACTCATAATAAATAAATCTGAAATGATTACTGTCACATTTAATAAGTTTTATTTATTTATTTATTTACAAGGTGCAGAGCCATGTATATTTAGCTGGACAAAGCAATCAAACCAAAGAAAGGCACCAAAGGAAAGAAAGATGGATGAGTCAACTGTTGGAGTAGCAGCATCAGCATTGCAGTTTGGATCCTGCTCAGTATTTCCTTCTATTGATGCGTCAACTGATGCTGCTCATTCATTTTCAGAGTGTGATGAAAATGCAGCTGAAGTGGAGTGTGAGTCCCCTCAAACAGAGCCTGATTGTGTCCTTGAACTGCAAAGGAGAATTGAATTACTTGAAACTCAGCTAGCTGACTGCCAGGAAAAACTCAGTGAAGCAGAAAAGGAAAATGCTGTGTTATTGGAACGTCAATTTTCCATTGACAAAATTAAAGATGACAATGCTGCTGTTTTATTTTACACCGGATTCCCAAGTTATGAGGCATTAATAAGCTTCTACAAATACATTGAGCCAAAGCTTTCCAAAATGCAGTACTGGAAGGGTGAAAATCTAGTAAAGGAAAGCCAGCCTTATCAACTTGATGATAACAAGAGTAAACCTGGACCATCAAGGAAGCTTACTTTTCTGGATGAGTTCCTACTGGTGCTCATGAGACTGAAAGCTGGTCTATTTGTACAGGACCTTGCCGACAGATTTGGCATCAGTGCCAGCCTGGTTTCCAGGATCTGCATCACCTGGATAAATTTGCTCTATCATGAGCTCAAGGACCTGTTTCCATTTCCCACACAGGAGCTTGTTCGCAAAAACATGCCTAAGGAGTTTGCCCAGTATGCCACAACCAGGATAATTTTAGACTGTACTGAGCTATTCATTCAGCGACCATCTGCTATGCTGGCTCAGTCAGAGACATGGTCAGATTATAAACACCATAATACTTGGAAGTTGCTAGTTGGGGTAACCCCAAATGGACAGGTCACTTTTTTGTCAGATCTCTGGGGTGGGCGTGTGTCTGACAAGCAAATAACAAGAGAGAGTGGTGTATTAGATTTGTTGCAAGTGGGTGATAATGTCATGGTTGATCGCGGATTTGACATTTCTGCAATTGTACCTGCTGGCGTTACAGTAAACATGCCACCATTTTTGGCTGGCCGTGATCAAATGACAGCAGCTGAAACTGAAGAGACTATGAGCATTGCTTCAGTGCGCATTCACGTGGAGCGTGCAATTGGCCGCATTAAGACCTACCACATTTTAGATGGTACCTTACCTAATACATTGAGCCCCTATGCAACACAAATTTCAACTGTCTGTGGCCTTCTGACAAACTTTTTACCCCCTTTACTACCACCGGCCAATCTTTGATTCTAGTTTTTGCTGTCTATTTATTATTAGGTAGAAATGTTTACTTTTTTTGCATTTTAAAATTGTGGCAGAAGCCCAGCTATCAGTCTAAGCCTGCTTCCTGTAATCAGCCCCTTGGGTTCCATTAATTTTGTATTCCAAATAATACCACTTGCATGTCAATGCATATTAATAACTATTGGGATTCCATATAGTAAGTTATCATGGAACCAAAAATTCCCACTTTATTTCATTTAAAAATGAAATTGTACATGTATTTTTACACAGTGCATGCTAGTAATTTGTTCCCTTGAGCACAATGTGGCGGTACTTGCGCGTTGACACAACCAGGTAATCGTAAAGCTGAATAAAATTTAGTTCGGGAAGCTGACGTAAATCAGTGGACCATCCGAGAGCAGAGATTTGTCTTAAAGTTTCATCGTACTTGAAGTCACCACTATTTTCCGTTGTATTCTGGTGATCCTGAGCAGTATTATCGCTACTTTGCCGCTGATACTCACCCGGTCGTAGCACGTGTCGCATGAGTATCGCGTAGACTTTTAAAACCAAATCTGCTTTTATTCCGCCCGTCGCTTCCGAATTAGAACGCAAAATTTCCCTTAAATCCTTCACTTTTAACTTCTGGATATCTTCTAGCGTTTTAATCTGCATATCCTTGCAAACTAGCACCATTTTAGAAGCGATTGAACCACGAAAGACTTCTCCGATCAGCTGTATTTACTGTTTTTGTAATACGCGGGTCACCGGCAGCCTCGCTATCGTGTTTGCGCGGCTACTAATCTAATATGGCGCCGGGAACTGTAAAAAGGACTATTGAAAAATCACGGATTTGCTTGAATCTTTTAAGAATTTCTCGGCGCACAAAGATCAGATCTGCTTGAGACTTTCCACAATTGTTACAAATGTGTTAAAGATGGTTTTGGACTAAACAGAGGTAGAATAAAGGATCTCTGAAAATATTGAATTGGACCCGAATTGTAAAGTTAGCGACAAAAACATGGCGTCACGCGTAACATGCGTCGGCTTCACTATTCACTGTTTTCCTGTTTTTGCCCACTGAAGCCTCGTTTATAACCGTAAGACTTAACAGATAATGAAAATAGTTCCTTTTTAAGCAAAGTGACAACTAAAATCCTGAAAATTTGAGCTAAATCTTTCTTAAAATCAACGAGAGTGTTCACCACTTGACGCGTCACGCTTTAAAGCTTAGGAGAGACAGATAATTTAAAATTCATTTTGCGAATCATAATTCCTGAGTTACAGAACAATTTAACCTCAAAATGCAATGCTCATAAGTTGATGTTCAATTTCTTTTCGTTTTTTGGTGTTTTTGTCGAAACTTTGTCGAGATATGAATTTTTTTCTGCGTCCGAAACAGTTGGCGAGCGCTGTGTTCTGCCGCGCGGTAGAACCAGTCAATGAATTTCCTAATCGCATTGTTTGCGACAAGTGCACTGGAGCATGTCAACCTTGACATAAACAAAATGCTCAAATGACAAGCTAAAGTTTGGTACCAAACTCGATCGAATCCGTTAAAAGCCGACGAAAATATTAGCATTTAAGTTCATCCGAAACATTAGGTCTACAATTTTGATCCTCAGGAACATATGCGATCGAATTTATAGCAAAAACAAGCGCGACGCGTTTGTCATTTTGACGGCTTCCATTACTTCCAAATCATCCCAAAGTCTACTTAATCAATAAGGACTGTTTTAGATTTCCTTATTAAGAAGTAAACTAGACCCTGTGAGCAGGGTAACTGGGATACCTGGATGGTACTTGATCCTTGGAATCAAGTGTAGTGATACTACGGGTGTCGGACTAGTATACTGAAATAGTGCGCTCAAGTCTGGCCAAGGGCATACACCTATTTCAAAACATAGGCATACTATGCGTGCAAGGGTTCCTTTTTTGTAGGGTGGGTGGATTACTTGAAACATTGTGAGTGATGTCTACATTCTTACAAAAGGAGAGAAGAATATTAATGTGGGAAAGAACGAAAATGTCGAATTACCTCACTCACAGGTATTTTGTGGTAGATTATGTGTGTTTTGCGAATAAATGTAACCAAAAATAAACTGTATTGGTGCCACGGATACCTGTTAGTACAAAATGCAGACAGCAGACTGCAGACTGGATACAAAATATAGACTGCAGACTGCAGAGTGGGTACAAAATGCAGACTGAGAATCTGAAGAGTTTTTACGTCTGGTATATAATAACATGTCATCTTACAGCTTACCGAGCGTCACGCAATCGCTTTTCTGCAATCCGCCTTCCCGATTATTTGCACTATTGTGGAATATTCCTGGCCCATTTCTTGATGAAAATCGATCGCAATATTATTTCAAGCCTTCAATATAGTCTTCTTACTTTGCACGCGAGTTGGTTGGTGTGATGTCTGTACAGATTTTAACAATGTAATAAAGGTAGATGACGTGAATAACAGTGATGGTAAAGCAAGCTTAAAACGGCAGAAATCGCCAGAAAATACAACGGATACACAGGGCATGAGTAAGTTTTATTGATTTTACGAGAAAAATCTTCATATTTCGAAATATTTATCGTTGTAAATCGACCATATTTCGTTCCCTATACTATTCCTTATAACGTGTTCAAATTTTCAACGGTTCCCAGCATAACTTACTCTGAGTCACACAACGCGTGACGCGTTCGTGAATTAATCGTTGGCTCTTTCTCGAGACGTGACCTTGGGTTGCCTGTGACAAGACAATTGCGTAAACAATACTTAACATAATAAGACGACAAAAAAACAAAGGCATTTTATGACTGGGCTACCACAGGTATCCCAGTAAAAAAAGACAAAAAAACAAAGGCATTTTATGACTGGGCTACCACAGGTATCCCAGTAAAAAAAAAAAGACGACAAAAAAACAAAGGCATTTTATGACTGGGCTACCATAGGTATCCCAGTAAATATTACATCAGGTGAGGAAATGAGCGGGAAACTTCCTAAGTACATACCGCATGTTTCAAGCATGCAGTCAAGTGCTGTTTGTTCACAAGCACAAGGCCGTGAAATTAAATGCAAAGATTAAGGATTCTAGAGTTTCTAGGATTCAGATGTGGCGAGAAAAAAACCATATTCCTTGAAACACGGTATTTTATTTATGCATTTTTTACAAAAAACAAAAAACAAAAAAAAAAAGGGCGTGGCCGCATTGTATCATCGGTAATAGAAAATTTGCTTGAAATGCGTCCGAATCGACCGAAATGACATAATTTCAAGATAGGAACCAATTTCCTTCACTTTCTGACTTAATTCTGATAAGAATTGATTCTTAAATCAATTTTTCAATTTTACCCCAATGTTACGCTTTTGTACATCAGAACCGTGCTACTGATCCTAACGGTGTAATTTCTTCCAGTCGGTAATGTATACACTGTAAGATTTTACGCCAGTAACTGACGGCGTAATTTCTTACAGTCGGTGATATATATAATATAAATTTTATAAACATGTTATGAAGCTTAGGAGGTCAGGCTGGTTTCGTAGACAACTGTGGCGTGAAAGCAAGGGTCAGCTACGTCAGAATACCAATTTTTAGCATCGCTTAACATTTCCAAGCAAACATCTGATGCTCTTTAGCACTTTAAAGGAACCTTTCAGTGGCATTTTGATGAAAATTTCTGACTGCCTGGCATTTATTACTTAGTCCATTTGAGACCGTGCCCGGTGTCACAGCGGATTTGGACCCCCCTCCCCAGATTTGGAACCCCCCTACCAAACTTTCCTTTTAAGCATCGTTTGTATCATATTTGGTGACGAATTCTATTTTCAAGCTTTTTGTCGATGTTCTTTTCAATCACAACACAACGTTCCTCAATAAAGGCAAAGAAACACCAGCCATTTCGTTCCAATTCTGTCGCATTTATTATAACGAGTCGTACAGTATACGCAAGAATTAGATGCGAACAAACTACTGCATTCGAACCATTGAAATTGTTACAATAAATCTTTGCTTCTTCTGATAAGAATCAACATTGATACGAAACCTCATAACAATAGTGGAGACTACTGCGTCCAGTTACAAAAATAACTCGGTCTGATTTTCTAAAATAATAACATTAAACAGTTTCTGAACAAGAGTGAAGAAACTACTCCTACTACAAGTCGTTCGTAAAGCCTATGATAAGTAAAAATGTTTCTACTCTAAACTATTGGAACTCTCAGCTTATTTTCAGATGCAAATCAACGTTCATGTCTACGTGTTAACAAAAGTGGAGACTATTGCGTCGAACTTAATCTTATTTTCTAATTTTAACGATTATTAACTGTTGAGGGATCCAAAATAACACTTTAACAATTACGAAGACTTCTAGAGTCTGGCGATCTGCAGACATTGCAGAACCACTCGCCTTCTGGGGCAATCTTAAATCCCTCGCAGCTCATGTGTAACCATTCCTCGCACAACTCGCACTGTACTATGTCGTCCCAATACTCGAGCATTGAACAATGCCAAATAAATCAGTGTCACAAGTTTGTCTCTTATTGAATCTAGCATTGTTCGACTATCGCGGAAAAGGTTCAAAAACGACCTTTCTCCAACATTAAACTAAATGCTTGCCCATTTTCCCTCGGTCAAAGGAAACATCCGACGGGTCATTTCCGGCTGCCAGTTCGTATGCATTAACGATACGCATGTTTTGAATTAAAGACATACTTTAGTACGCACTGAAACGCAAAGTATCATATATTTTTACTAGAACGTTAAGGATGATGTTTTCACTTAGTTTTGTTGGGGGGTCCAAATCCGCTAGGACACCAGCAGTCTGATCAGAAGCGTAGAATTTCGAAGTGTCGATAACCGAGCGATATTGTAGTACTATTGTAGTATGCAAAAGCTCAGAGAATTTGTCCACTGAAAAAAAAAATTAATTTTTGGAATGGCTAGACATTTCTTAACTAACATCTGATACTCTTAAGAAGTTTGAAGGAACTTTTCAGTGGCATTTTGGTGAATATTTCTAACTGCCGGGCATTTAGTTCATTTGAAACCGTGCCCGGCAGTCTGATCAGAAGCGTTGAATTTCCAAGTTGTCGACAACCGAGCGATATTATAATATGCACAAGCTCGGAGCATTTGTCCACAAAAAAAAAAACAAATAAATTTTTGGAATCGCTTGTCATTTCTTAATAAAACATTTGGTATTCTTAGGAAGGTTGAAAGAACCTTTTGGCGGAAATTGCGCGAAAATTTTTGTCTGCCGGGCATCTAGTCTATTTGAGACTGCATATTGTTTAGGCTGGGTGGGTTGAGATGGGACACTGTGTATCTAATGTTTTCATTTTTGTAACAGAAAAATAGCATAACTTTCAAAAGAACGATAATATCGCATTCCTTCACCTTAAGAGAAAGAAACAAAAAAAAATTTATCTAAACTCGCACAGGTATTTTGTGGTCTATTGTCTCTATTGCCATAATACACTATAAAGTTCCCGCTCAAAATGTCTGAGCGCGCATTTGTTTGTCAGTTAACGTTATTGAATATCGATACATATTCAAATATCCTAATTGAAAGTTCGATCAACACTAATGAAATGTATTCTAGAGTTAATGAAAAACTTATTTACGTTATTGATATAACTTTTGGCATAAATGAAAGTATATTTTCTGGTAATGAACAGCAAAAGGTGTACTTCTAGGCAAAAATATAAAACTGGAAATTCACTATCATTAGCAGTTAGTTCTATGTTCATTTTTTTGTTGGGGCTGGGCAATTCGTTTAGAATGCGTGATAAAATTCAGGTTTTTTTTTTTACAAGGAAATGACGTGAAAAATTGCCTAATGTTCACGTGGTGCACTGACTGAGTATGTTATGATTGAACTTTGAACATCGTTTTTTATGGTACGTGATGGAATGTAAGTTGTTTCGCGTGTGCGTTGTTAGTAGAGGAGCGGAAAAAACGCGTTTTAACTTAAAAATGATATAAAAAGTTTAACGCTAACCTTTTATATCCCGATAAATCTTAACCTTAATCAACGAGGCTCTCGCGAAGGCCACAAAGCATTACAGTTATAAAATGAGCCCAAAATTTCTGGTTAATGTCACTCTTTCTGCGCAGCCCCCTGATTCTATGACATCATTTGTAAGAAAGCAATACCCAAACGCTGTGATTGGTGCAAGATATTCAAATGCTGTGACATAATTGGTGCGAGATACAGACCCTAGTTCGGCAATCTGATTAGTGCGAGATGCTTACCCTTATGCGGCAATCTGATTGATGCGAGATATGTGGGTAGTTTCAGGTCACGGTTTCTTGACCCCAGGATTTAAAGGAAATCTGAGAGAAAAGTTACTGTAATAAAGACGAGGCATAGCGGGTTTGACGAGTTGGTCTGCTTATTTGACTTGTTGAAACTCTTTGATCACCGGATACCCAAATAACCTTTCAAAATTTTGGCCTGCACTTTTGTCCTTTTTATTTGACAGCCTACCCGAAACAGCTGAATATAAGCTACCCTCTTGGCATTTTCTTTAAATAAAGGTTTGAGCTATTGTTACTAAAAAATAACTGAGGAATGTTTATCTCTCATCAAAATTAAAAGCTAGTTTACTGAACGATTCGGTATGCTTCGTTTCAGGATAAAATTACGGCCGCGAATGCTGCGAGACGTTTCTCAACAGGACATCTCTGTCACGGTTCTAGGCCACCAGCTTAGCATGCCAATTTGTGTGTCACCTACTGCTTATCAAGCAATGGCACATCCAGACGGGGAACTGGCCACAGTCAGAGGTAAACTAACAGTTCCTACACTGAATTCCGACTAATGCGACCAGATCGGGTTTTGCTAACCCGATAAAAAATTTAAAAGTCTCTCAATTACATTGATTACGAAAAAGGCTACATCTCCTAACGTACTCTGAAATCTTTCACGCTTGAAGTGGTACATTATAGTTGGATGGCATAGCAGGGCTAAAATTTACTGAATTTATTTATCCTTAAGACAACTTAGATTCCCATTCATTGTCGTTTGCAGAGAACGTACTACGTACATACGTACTCTTGTCACTAAGCAGAGACAAAGCTTTGTCGTCATATTGCTGTTTGTCCATAACCACAACACAATTACCCTTGTCAGCAGATAATACGAGCCTGTCCGGATCCTTTTTGAGAGCTATAAGCGCATTGAAAACATCTTTTTGAATGTTTTTGGGAGGGGGTTTAGCACGCCTGAGTATGCTACTTACTTCTGCTGTTACCAAATGCCTACGATCGTCGTTGAGTTGAGAGATACTCTCCTCAACAGTGGCGACAATTTCGGCAGTCGGTATTTTGCGAGGAGCAATAGCAAACTTCGGACCCTTCTCTAAACCACTCCGTTCCAGCGCGGATAACTCCTTGGAGGAAAGGTTCATGACCCATTTATCTTTCAGAGATGAGCCTGAATTAACAGGAGACCTCTTACTGAGTACTGAGCAAGTGACAGAGTTTTCTGTCGTGTTTCTCTCTCTGTTTGGTAAACGTCTGCAGTTCTTTCGAACTGCAGAACTCCTCGACCCAGGAGGTTTCGGAGTTGTTAATCAAAGCAGAGAGTTCACTGAGTGAACGAGAGAATAACGCACGCAAACGCAGTATGGAACTGTGACATTCATCTATTCGTAGCTTAAGAAAAGAAAAACCAGTACGGACCATGAGCTTGTATCCTTTAGCACTCCGTAAAGGAGGCCGAAATCTCAAACTCGATGGAAGCACATAGTTTTCTTTACAACGGTGATTGAAATACAAATGACAGCGATACTTAGCAATGCGGACTTTGATGTTCGCGAGTCAGTTGACCCTTGTAACAAAAGTTTGACCATACTTTTCTCGCAAATGAAATATATTAAAGTTCACACTGCAACCAGGTGGACAATCAGACATAGTTTGATGCTACTCTGGTTTGCAGATTTAATGAATGTAACCGAAGAAGTTACAATTCATAGACCCAACGTCTAACGTCCAACGTTACGGAACCCATCAAGAGAATTTTGAATAGCCACAACGTTAAAGTTGCTCAAAAACCTTTTCAGACTTCGCCAAACCCAAGGATCCTGTCACGAAAGAACAACGAACCGACGCCAATTATCCTATTCCTTGCAATGACTGTGGCAACGAATACATCGGACAGACCAAACGTTGGTACACGGTTAAAAGAGCACCAAAAAGCGGTTTTCCTTTGCAAAAAGGAAAATTCAGCTTTCTCGGAGCACACATGCCTAACTAACCATACTTAATTTATCACCACTAATCGGCGTTACCACCAGCGCCTTTGTTTGGAGGCTTGGCATATTAACTCCGCCCACGCTCCTTTAAATCGTGACGATGGCGGTTTGCTTCCTGACGCCTATTTACACCTCGTCAGAAAAAAGGCCGCTAATTAGTGATCATATAAAAGGACCTCTTGTTGCAGCGATTAGATCACCTTACATACATTCATTAAATCTGCAAACCAGAGTAGCATCAAACTATGTCTGATTGTTTTATTACCTCTCTCTTTCAGCGGTTAAGTCTGTAGATACAGCAATGGGTTTAAGCTTATACTCCACAAACAGTCTTGAGGACGTCGCGCGGGAGTGTCCGAACACGATCAAATTCATGCAGTTGCAGTTTTACAGTGATCGGCCATTTATGGAGCAAGTGGTAAAACGAGCGGAAAAAGCAGGCTACAAAGCAATTTTCCTAACAGTTGATATTCCGGTTTATGGTAGACATAAGGCCAGGCGCAATTTTCACCTCCCGAAACATCTGAAGTATGCTAATTTCAAATCGTTACATACGGAGAAAGGACTTCGCACTAATGAGGAGATTGATAATTATATTATCAATGCATCTGACGCCAGTGTTGATTGGAAGACATTTGACTGGCTCCGTTCGATTTCGTCCCTTCCGTTTGTTCTCAAGGGAATACTGACTCCAGAAGATGCTTGTCTCGCGGTGCAACATGGGGCTCAGGGAATTATGGTGTCAAATCATGGAGGACGGCAATTAGATGGTGTCCCGGCCACTGTACGTTGATAACTGATACGAAATTTTCGAAAGATACCTTTATTTCTGCCTCGGAGTTATGACTATTAAAATATTTCATTTGTTCTCAGATTGAGGTGTTACCCGATATAGTGGAAGCCGTGCGAGGGACTGGGATCGAAGTGTATATAGACGGTGGTGTGAGACTGGGCACTGATGTTCTAAAGGCCCTTGCTTTGGGGGCACGAGCAGTGTTTGTTGGCAGGCCAGTTATCTGGGGACTCGCATATAAGGTGCCAAACTGGTGTGAATTTTTTTGTTTAGACTCGCATTCAATCATTTTTTACCACGAACCCTTTGAGCAAGGTACTTTTTCCCCTAAAAGTTTTGTTTTTGCTTTCGAGAGTTTTTCTTTTCTACGTTAGTTTGTTTCTCTTATTCATCTATGTTTTCAGCGTAAAAGAGATAGAAATGCTACCCGTGGACTTAGGACAAAAAATAAAATGTTTATCATGGTGTAACATAGTCTACCACCGGTGCAGATTTGCACCCACTCGTTTTCCAGCACGAAATTACTTGTATCGTTCTTTTGTTCTCTAAAGTCATGTTATTTAATATGATTTCTTTTATCTCGAATCGTTATATAAATTATTTTTCTATGCCATTTTTGCATTCAGACCTCGTTGATCCCAGGGTGAAATCTTTTTTGACAAACAAATCGTCCAATTCAAGAGGATTAGAGGAGACGTCATTAAAGATAATCAACAGGCCCCGTAACCGTGCATTCTCGTCTTTGTTCTTTTTTTTTTTTTTTTTTTATAAGGGAGAGCAGGGTGTAAGTAAAGTCCTTGAGATGCTTAGAGATGAACTGAAGGTGGCCATGGCTTTGGCAGGTATCATGTTTGAACTTGTAACTCGCAAAAGTCGACTGAATCCATCAACTTGGGTCTACCCGTTAATTTAAGTACAATCGCAACTTTTATTGACTCAGGTTTTACAAAAGCTTTCTAAGAAGGTGACCTGTTTCTGCTTCCGATATAAATGAGTTTGCGCTGCTTGAGCAACAGCACTACCATTGCTGTAACTTGAACAACTTATTTTCACAATGCTTTAGCTAATTAAGGATTTATTATTGAAGCCTCATCTCTAACTCTGGAAAGTATTGCAGTAGTTTTTTAACCTGTAGGTTCTCCGAGGTTTAGAATCTAGCAAACTTTTCGTTGACTACGATTGATTAGCACGCTGCGAAATCACTTACCAATCTAAAACCCTTTTTTCGTCTTCTATTTGCCGTGAAATATTCGTTTGGCCACCTTAGAAGGAAATGAGCATACCCATTCTGTATTTTTGTTAGTATTATTATTATTACTATTATTATTATTATTATTATTATTATTATTATTATCATTATTATTATTATTAGCTCCTTCGTTGTAAAGATCGCTATCGCCATCAATTTGATATCGTTACACCAACCCCAAATCTCAAGGTCATCATTGCTAATTTTTTTTTATCATAGTGTGAAAAGTAATTCACTTGAAGCCATTAATTGCAATGTTTCTTCTGTTGTGTCAGGTTGTGCATCTCTCAAGGACATTACCCCAGCTTTAGTGATGAGACAAGCAAGTAATCTGTGAAAGGCTTAGAATTCGATGATATGCTGAGAAATGGCAATTTTCCCATCAGGAAAATCAGAGCAGCAGTGAAATGAATTGCTTTGAATTTAAACTGGGGATATTTATTCCTAGTGAAAAAATTTATTTGCATTCTTGCAAGCATTCATAGAAGGAGTTTCAATAATTTTATGTGACAACAGTCGTTGTCCGTTTTTTGCTATTTTAATAGATTTTGTAAAAGAGTGCGATAAGCCCAGATTTTAATACTATAAATTTTTTTTTAACTAAACGGATTTTCGACAGTAGATACGTGAATTACACCATAGGCACTCACTTTCACCCTTCCAGAGAACGTATTAACCTCTCTTGAATTTGTCCCATCCTCCTCTTTTTATTTCTATCGATATTTTAAGTTAGTGAAGAATAAAGGTCTTATTAAGATTTGTAGGTCCATGACTCTTTTAAGATGTTCGCTATGTCTACTTTTATGCTGGTTTATGATAACTCGGATTTTATTTCCAAAAGAATCAATAACAGCGCAATTTCAGCTTGAAACGATCCTTTTACTTCGTCAGAGGATTAAAAAACAAGGGAGAACTTTAGTAGCCTGGGACACAGAAATCGAAAAAATCTACAAATTAAAATTCTCATTATTTTTCTTCTAAAAGACGCTCTGAAACCCTTTGGTGTATGTCTCCAAAACAGTAGATGAAAGGGAATCGTTTCCACCTTGCCTGAGTAGTGTAAATTTGAGGATTACAAAATGGGGATGTTGCTCTAAGGTTGTATTGAAGTCATTCAATAGTAAAAAGGAATGCAAGAAAAAGTTGTGATTTTGTTAGGTTTCATAACAGAGCGGGCAGAGAAAATCAAAGAAAAAAATGAATGATCTCCCTCGTTACAAATACACACACTTTTGTCATTATCATCTAAAATCCCATAAAAATCCTTCCTTCTACATATTCCTTAAACCTCTTCAATTCTAAAGGTACATGGGTAGAGGGGGGGAGGAGGGGATTAGTTGCGTATCGTTCATCTGTATTGGCCCGCGTGACTCCGTTACATCACCTAAAGTCCGTTCCTTCCTTCAAAATGGCGGCCGCTGAGGCCTTCCTAGTAGTTTGGATATCTATCATTTGGGTCACTGGCATGGACTGTAAACACGATCATCCCGTTCCAACTTATTTCGGCAAACTGCATCCTAATGGAACCATTGTCGATGCTCGAAACCCGGCAAATAAACTTAGGTTCTCCTTTCCACTGAAACCGATTACAACTCAAGATTCTGGTGCTGTTTTGAAAGTGTCACCTTCATCAGAGATCAAAAACGGCGCGGAGGTGAACGTCATGTGGTATGGAGTTACTCTTCCAAATAAAAAAGATGTTGTTGGTCTTTACTGCCCACCGGATGCCGAACCCGATCTTTATTTAGACTATGTCAATGTCAGCAGCATAGCCACTTACTCGAAAGGTTATGGCGAGTTTGGGGTTCGACTTTGGAATTTAAGGAAGGACTGTGTATTCAGATACTACAGGATTGGTAACTACTCGATGCTTGTGGTACAAAGCAACGTTGTTACTTTCGAAGGAGGAGCAGAGATACCACTGCAGGGCCATCTATCACTCACAGGCAACCCTACAGAAATGAGAGTTATGTGGGTGTCCGGCTTAAGTAAGTTGTGCAATTTTTGTAAAGTTTTAGAATAGAGGAAGCAGAGGACGCATGCTATGGCTCGAGTTGCACTGCCAACCATGTTTCTCATGCCTTGTATAAATTAGATTTACTTCTTTTCTCCCATTTTACAAAGCTATCCAATGTCACTTTGTTTTCCCTTATCCACCCCCTTTTTTCGATTCCTCCTGAAATCATTATTTCATTTTACTTTTTAGTAAGACTCTTTGTATCTTTTTACTGGCAAACGGGAAAGGATCATCCTATTTATTTAAATGTATTTGTTATGTGACCAAGCTTGTTTGGTCAAGATGGCTGAATATTGGCAAGGTTCCTTAAAAACACATTAAAGGAAGAAGGCTAATCTCCCGCTATCTTGACCAAACAAAGAGGATGCACTTCTTATTGCCCATGCGTACTATCAGGTTTATAATTAAAATGGATAAACCTTTTTGACAATTCCTAGTAAGAATCTATCATGCTGCATAAAAATGTGTAAATAGTTCTTACTGACACAGTTTATATAAAAAATGATAAAAGCCACTTATTATCTGAATTTAGATTTTCAAACAAACAAAATCAACAATTGCCTAGCTTTCTTTTGGTAAATAGATTTTTTTCTTTCTCCTCTGATGATAAATTCATTACTTTAATTTATAGTGGAAACTTCTGTTGTAAAATATGGAACTGACCCGTCCGCTATGTCTGAAGTGATCATGGGGAATATCAGTAAAACCTACACTGCTGCTGACATGTGCAATGCACCTGCCAATGATGTCAATAACTTTGTTGATCCAGGCTATATTCATGATGTTCTGCTGACTAACCTCACACCAGGAACAAAATATTACTACTCCTATGGTTCAGTGAAGGTATCTTTTTCAGGATTGAATCATGTCATATATTAGTCTTTCCAGGATTTTGATTAAAGAAAATCAAGAAGTAGGCAGATAGTATAAAATACTGTAACAGGAGGATATTTTCTACTATTTTTGATAAAAAGGGTCATCAAATGGTAGTTGGAGAATTTGGTATACAGGTTAGAGAATTATCTGATGTGTGATGCCCACAGAACTTCCTCCTTTTTAGGTGAACTCATGGTTTTCTGAAGTGAAAATCAGTCAAAACTAAGCATTGAAATGACCCCTAATAACTGTGCAAGTCTAGTGAATCTTTCACCTGAGAAGAAGTGTATTTTGCCTGCGAGGTATCACAAAAGTTTGATATCTTGCAACACTGTAATATATCACTCATCATATCTCATTTCCATCAGCAATTAGTTTTCTTTCCACTGAGAATAAAATTTACAAATACTTTTCTTGTTGAACATCATAAAATTGTTGCCTTTGAGCTCTTTTGGGTGGACTTATGGGAAATCACCTTGGATATGATGCTGAAGGTTAATGGGTTTAGAAATAATACTTGTCCAAGTGACAGGTAAAGGCATGCCTAACTTGGAACTGGCCAACTATAATACTTTCAACTTTCATTATGAAGTCTTTGTGATCTTAAAATATTTTAATGTTTAATTTTAGATGATGAGTCCTATTCAGCATTTCAATACAGCTCCTCCTGTTGGTTCTGCAAATAGGTTTACTGCCCTGGTTTATGGAGACATGGGAATATCCCCAATACCTCGGGCATACAAGACAGCAGATTATGCAACAGAAGAGGCTAACAATGGAACTGCAGCCTTTGTATTTCACAATGGTGATATTTCTTATGCTCGAGGATTTGTAAGTAGTGTAACAAATTCTGTTGATTTTCCTTTAAGTTTTGTTGCAAATTTTTTGTTAAAACTTGGCCAACTTTTAGTTGTATATGTTGTGGTTCAATTTCATCCTTGGTTCAAATTTTAATTTCTTTTGTTTCAAACTCATTATCATACATAACAATACCCAAAAACAAAAGAAAATAAAATTTGAACTAAGGATAAAATTGAACCACAACATATATAAACACAATAATCATGAGCTTACCACACCTCTCTTGTTTTAAAAACCAGTGTAGTACCAGCTGAGGATACCTTCCCATAATACTCTTTACCTGAATGTAGTTATTTTATGAATTTCCTTAATTAACCCTTTAACCCTTTCACTCCTAAGATCTATTTAGTAATTCTCCTTACTATCTGCCATACAATTCTTATGATGTTAGTTCAGAGAATTTAGTATTGGATCAACTAATAATCCCATGATTGATATTCTTCTCTATTCTCATCACCTGCCTGCTTGATATTGTATTGATATTGTAAGGAGAAATTCTGTCTTGGTCACTTGTGAGAGTGAAAGGGTTAACCCCTGAGAGTGACTAGCAACAAAAAGAAACCAAAAGTTACGTATTCAGTGGCTTTGGTGTTGGCATTTCTTTCGGCTGATAATGAAAATTGACTACTGGAAGATTTGCCACAAGCCAATTTTGGTCTTTTACCTGAAAGACTTCTTCTGTTGGTGAGGACAAATTCAATAAATGAGAATTTGGTAAATGAAAAATAACGACCATTGTTGTTTTTGTAATTGTGATTCAACGCCTTTTTCCATCTTGACAGTTAATGCCAATGCACTTTACGATTGTTATTTGGGGATTGTTGATTCATTTATTTTCATTCATTAATGAAGTAGGCTTTTCTTGACAGTAAAGGGCTATTGTGTTTATATGATAAACAAAATAATACATGGTTGCTTATAGATATGGAATTTCTCTTCTCATGTTCAACTCGACATCTCACTCGTTTGCTGTGCTCACTTGTGAGCTATTGAGTTGAACACTCGAAGAGAAATTCCATATCTACGCATGCCCATGTATGATTCTCTATTGTATAATTGTAGGCCTACATTTGGGAACAGTGGCATGCAATTATTGAGCCCTATTCCACTATACTGCCATATATGGTGGGTATTGGGAACCATGAGCAGGATCATTTGAAGGGAGGATCCAAGGACCCCAGTGGGGCCCCTGGAGAAGGTTTTCATCCCTGGTGGTCTGGGGGATGGGGCTATGATTCAGGTGGTGAATGTGGGGTTCCAATGTACTACCGTTTCCACATGCCTGATAACGGAAATGCAGTGTGGTGGTAAGTCCAGATATAGCAAACTTGTTTCCTCTCCCACAAACTCAAAGTTCTCAGTGTTTCCCTTCAGATGAGTTTCTCTGTAACTCCTTACTGAACATAGAAAGGAGTGTTATCATGTATGTTGATCAATCCAGATTCTCATGTTAGGGTCAGGAAAGGATTGTGAATTATTGAAACTAGTTCTTGTCATGCAGTGATCTTTTTCAATTAATATGTAAAACAGGAAAAAAAATAAACTGACGACTCGCTTTATTTTATTTTCAGTGGTATGAGATCCTTCTTTTTTGAAAACCATGTTTGTTTAAAAGTTATCTCAATAAAGATTATTATTATGGTATTTACCAACTATCTGCATGTGAGCAAGGAATGCCTGTAATGGATAATCACAGAAGATATGTATTCTTAAGATTTTTTGCCATTTTCATGTTTTCTTGTTAACCTTATCAGAAATTATTTTAACATCAAGGAATGATATCCTATTGGAGGATTAAATAGATTTTGTTTCTTTGGAAATGTGTAATTTTGTTTGTTTGTTTTGACAGGTACAGCTTTGATTATGGCAGTATCCACTTCATGATGATGAGCACAGAACACAACTTTACACAAGGATCTCGTCAGTATGAATGGATGGAACAAGACTTAAAGAATGTCAACCGCTCTCTTACCCCTTGGGTAGTGATCGCGGGACACAGAGCAATGTACACAAGTCAGAAGTTGGAGGGTAAGTAGGACAAATCAAAATAAGTATCAAGTCCAATAACTAAGCAAGAGGTGCATTCTATCCATTGCCTGAACAATTTAAGTTATTGGACAAGCATTCCATTCCTCTGATAGGGATATTAGTCCATTGTAGTGAGGATGCCAGTTTGTTTTTGTTACCATCGTCATGTGGTTAACATTTTGGCTCAAGGTTGAGTAGGTTCAGAGTGAAGGATGCTTAAGAATAATTATTATTTCAACCACAATTTTCAAGAGGTTCTTAATAGGCATGTTAACAAATGCCAGATTTACCTGCAGATAAGCCGCATCCACGTATAGGCTGCACTATCTTCATTATCATTAGAAAATTATACCCCCTGTTTCATACTTTTTTTTCGTTTAACATTTGCAGGGGATTACATCATCTCCCTGGGCATGCAGCATGCATTTGAATCTCTGTTGTATAAGTACAAAGTTGATCTGGCCTTCTGGGCTCATTATCACAGCTATGAGCGCACATGTCCTGTCTACCAGCGTCAATGCACCCCAGGAGCACCTGTGCACATTGTTGTAGGGACAGCAGGGAAAGAGTTGGATTTAGAGGATTATTTTCCTGTGAGCTGGTCACTGTATCAAGAAAATGACTATGGATATGGCCGGCTGACTCAGGCAAATCGCTCTGCACTTCTGTGGGAATGGGTTGAGAATACAAGTGGAAAGGTCAAAGATCAAGTGTGGTTGACAAAGTGATGATCACTCTGATTGTGTGTTACCCCTCGTTTATTTAAAATAGACAATTTGTGAATAGGGCAGACTTTAAACTGTGTTCTTAAGGCTAATTTTTCATTACATTTCATTAGAAAAATTTGCACTTTAAAAGCACCGTATAGATTTTAATTTGGTTAATGCTGCCTTTTGTGGATCAGTGAAATTGTCAGCCCAGAATGGCTTTTGGGCTAGTATCTATATGAAGAAATTGAAGACATTTTAACCCTTTTACATGCTTATGACTGGTAAAACCCTGGGAAAAGACCTGCAGTGATGGACATCCTCACCTACTTTAATTTATGGCATTCATTGAAGTCAGACATATGTTCTTTTTTAGTGTTCATTTTTTTGGTCAAAATATGAAAAAAATAATGCTGTAGAATTCAGGGGGGAAACAACCCATACAAAATATTATTTGCACCACCTCGTTCATCCTCAGTACTCCACATCTTGCAATCACAGACACATTGCGCGCCCTTTTCAGGCAGTGACCTGTTCTGCTCTACAACTGGGACATTAAAAAAATAGAGCAGATTTTACATGTGTGTGTTACTGACACCATCATTGTTAAGAAAACTCAGATACTGGACAATTTTAGAGGAGGATGAAGTTGAAACATCAGATAACACCAGTACCTGTATAGTACTTGTTTCCAGGAGCCCATTACTTATGATGGGCTCCTGTTGTTTCTTAAGCATGAGGGTCTTTTTCAGTGGGATAGTGTATACCGCATGGTATCAAAGGTATTATCGATGGACAAAATGACAACTTTCAAGGTAATCCTTGCACATTTCTTTCATCAAGGCATTAATATTAGTTTACTTGAAGTCATTAACTGCTCTTTTTCTCTTGTTGTCTCAGGATGTGCATCTCTTGAGGACATTATCCCCTAACCCTCACCCCCTTGGTAGTGAGATAAAGTTATCATCTGTGAACAGCCTAGAAGGGAGGGAGAGAGGGGGTTTTAGTTTCTGTGAGGAAACAATCATCTTTGGTTTTTTTTTCCTATTTAAATAGATTTTTGTCTTAGATTACAACAACCCCAGATTTTAATATTAGAATCTTTATCAACTTTGCATCTTTTTACAGAAATTTAGTGCACTCTTTTCCACCCTTCTAGAGAACGTATTAAACCTTCCTTCCTCTATTTTGGAACACATCTTCCTTTTATATTTTATCTTTTAATTCTTTCGAAATGTAAATGAAAATAAATTTATTAAGATATCTAGAGTCCATATTTTTTTTAACAGATGTTCACTATGTCTACTTTTCTGCATGTTTATGATAACTCGGAAAGTGTTTGATAATTCTATTTCCAAAAGAGTGAATAACAGCGTCATTGCAGTTTGAAGTGATCCTTTGACTTTGTCGGAAGAGTCAAAAAGCAATGACAAACAAACAAAAACATCGTTAAAAAAATATCTTAAAACTCCAATTTTTCCCCTCAAAACGACTCTATGAAACCCTATTAAAGTCCCAACACTCTAGCTAGCTTTTTAAACGTGCGTCTTTCGTCTGTTTAGCCTCTTTGGCAGACGTTGTCAGGCTTGTTACGTCACGCAATCATTCCTCCCTACTAACGTTTGTGGGGAGGAATGATTGCGTGACGTGACGTGCCTAACAACTTCTGCGCAGGAGGCTACTAACTAACCTGACTGGTGTAGATTTGGAGATTAGAAAATGGAAGTATCGCTTTAAGGTTGGATTAATTGCAGTCAAAGCTATGAAAACAGATTTAAAATTATGCTTTTGTCCGATCTCTAGACAATGGCAAAGAAACTATTAAATCAATTCGCCTCATCAACATCTAAAAGCCCGTAAAAATCTCACTTGCTCCTTCGTTTTCCTAAAATTTCGCACGATTTTTCTGATACCCTGAAAATACTTTAAACAAATGTTTGGCTTTTTATGCCTTAATCTAACAGAGGGGTACGTGTTATCGGCTTTACCTTTCACTTGTGATTGCCCACCCCACGGGGAGGCTCTTCACAAAGGAAATGTAATGTGACCCGTTACATCACATTTCAAAATGGTGGCTACTGTTTTGGTTTCTAATGTAGCGGTTTGGTTATCTATCTTTTGGGCTATTGGCATAGACTGTAAACACGACCATCCTGTTCCAACTTATTTCGGCAAACTACATCCAAATGGAACCATCGTCGACGCTCGAAACCCGGCAAATAAGCTCAGGTTCTCTTTTCCACCGAAACCGATTACAACTCAAGATTCTGGTGCTGTTTTGAAAGTGTCACCTTCATCAGAGATAAAAAATGGCGCGGAGGTGAACGTCATGTGGCATGGAGTTACTTTTCCAAATAAAGAAGATGTCGTTGTTCTATATTGTCCACCAGATGCCGAACCTGAACGATATTTAGACTATGTCAATGTCAGTACTATAGCGACTTACCCCAAAGGTTATGGCGAGTTTGCAGTTCGGCTTTGGAACGTAAGGAAGGACTGTGTATTCAGATACTTCAGGATTGGTAATTACTCGATGCTTGCGGTGGAAAGCAATATTGTGACTTTCGAAGGAGGAGCAGAGATGCCATTACAGGGCCATCTAGCACTCACAGGCAACCCCACAGAAATGAGAGTTATGTGGGTGTCTGGCTTCAGTAAGTTCTGTAATTTGTGCATAGTTTCAGAATAGAGGGAGCAGAGAAAGCATGCTTTGGCTGGAGTTGCTCAGCGTACCATGTTGTCTGTGCCTTGCATTCTGCATTAGACTTGCCACTTTTTCCTACGGCACAAATTATAGAATTCAATGTAACTTGGTTTTCCCATCAATCATTATTTTGTTTTTGTGGGCTAGACACTCGGTATCTTTTGACCAGCAAGCAATGCAGAACCCTTTTGAAATTTTCAGAGGAGGGGTAAACTGCAATAGGATGATCCTGGACTATAATATATAAACTCTTTAGGCTATGCCACATAGATAAGTTCTGTTTTTGACAATTTCAAGCAAGACTTTCATGCTGCACCAAAAATTGTTATTAGTTCTTAATGACACCGCTGATATATAGAATGATAATTTCCAGTTATTTTTCTAATTGCGATTTTCAATTAAACCAAATCAACAGTTAGACTCTAGAATTTCTCTTCCCCTCATATGGTAATTTCATTGCTTTAATTTTTAGCAGAATTGTCTGTTGTAAATACAACAATTCAAACAAACAAAATCAACAGTTGCTGAGCTTTCCTTTTGGTAAATAGGTTTTTTCTTTCTTCTCTGATGATAAATTCACTGCTTTAATTTGTAGTGGAAACTTCTTTTGTAAAATACGGGACTGACCCATCAGCTATGTCTGAAGTGATCATGGGGAATATCAGTAAAACCTACACTGCTGCTGACATGTGCAATGCACCTGCCAATGATGTCAATAACTTTGTTGATCCTGGCTATATTCATGATGTTCTGCTGACTAATCTCACACCAGGAACAAGATATTACTACTCTTATGGTTCAAAGAAGGTATTTTTTGCAGAACTGAATTGTTTTGTATACATGTGGTCTTTCAAGGGTTTTTGTTTGAAAATCAAGAAGCAGGTGAATAATATAAGATACTGTAACATTAGAATATTTTCTACTTTTGAATAAAAGGGTTCATCAAAAGGCAGTTGAAGAATTTGGTATACAGGTCAGAGAATTATCTGATGTCTAATGCTGTCCAAACTTCCAGCTTTTTAGGTGAACTTATGGTTTTCTGAAGATCAGTTGAAGCTAAGCATTGAAATGACATCCAAATAACTGTGAAAGTCTTGTGAATCTTTAACTTGTGTGTATGTATATGTTAACTTGTGAACTATCAGAACAGTTTGTTTTCTTGCAATATTGATAGTAGATCACCTAACACAACTGATTTCTACTGGTAAATATTTTTTATTTCACCAACAATAAATTACCAAATTCACAGAATTGGTAATTGTAAAATGTTTTGGGTAGACTTTGGGTAGACACTATGGATATGATGCTTTTGGGAAATAACCTTGGATATGATGCTATATGCCTGGGTAATGGATTTAGAAATAACTCTTGTCCAGGTGACTAGTAAAGATAGGTATGCCAAGTATCTTAGGACTGGCCAATTACAGTACTTTCAACTTTTATCAGAAGTACCAATATTTATGATCTTAAAATATTTAAATGTTTAATATTTAGATGATGAGTCCCATTCAGCATTTCTATACAGCTCCTCCTGTTGGCTCTGCAAATAGGTTTACTGCCCTGGTTTATGGAGACATGGGAGTATCCCCAATACCTCGTGCATACAAGACAGCAGATTATGCAACTGAGGAGGCTAACAATGGAACTGCAGCTTTTGTAATTCACAATGGCGATATATCTTATGCTCGAGGGCATGTAAGTGAAACAAGTTTTATTGCTTTTGCTTTAAGTTTAGTCTTAAGTTTTTGGTCAAGCCATAACAAATCTTTAGTTGTACATCAAGATGCTAATCACAAGCCTTCGAAGCGGCTTTTATTTTAAAAACCCAAGTAGTGCTAATGTAGGATACTTGCACATAATCCTCTTTCAGTTGAATCAAGCTTTTTTTCAAGTATTCCCTTATGCTGCTATTGTGCCTCCAAAAAGTCTCTTTCTTATAATCTTCGCACTTTGCACAACAGTTCCTAAAAGAAATGAATTTTACAGGTTTCTTCTACATGTAGTTTCTGTAAGACCATTCCCACATGAAATAAACATTTTATATTCATCACAGGCCTACATTTGGGAACAGTGGCATGCAATTATTGAGCCCTATGCCACCATACTGCCATATATGGTGGGTATTGGGAACCATGAGCAGGATCACGTGAAGGGAGGATCCAAGGACCCCAGTGGAGCTCCTGGAGAAGGCTTTCATCCTTGGTGGTCAGGGGGATGGGGCCATGATTCATTTGGTGAATGTGGTGTTCCAATGTATTACCGTTTCCACATGCCTGACAATGGAAATGCAGTGTGGTGGTAAGTCCAGATATGACAAACTTATTCCCTCTCTCACAAACTCAAAGTTTTTGTTGTTTCCCTCCTGTAACTCTTCATTGAACACAGAAAGGAGTTTTTATGTCAAGTGTAGATCATGTATGGTGATTAATCCAGACTTTCATGTTGGGGTCATGAAAAGGATTTTGAATTATTGAAACTCTTGCTTTTAACAGAAAAAAAATGACAACTCACAAGATGGTATTGTTATAGGTAATAACATGATTTCAAGTGGATTTTGGTTTTGGTGACTGAGCATGAATTAATTTTTTCAAAAGCAGAAAAATTGCATGAGCCTGTAGGGCAAGTGCAATTTGAAGTCTTCGAAAAATTTACAAGTGCTTATTCACACCAAATTGCATGAGAAATTGTGTCATAACTTATTTATAATTTTCATGAAAAAAGCATCGCAGAAGTCAGGACAGACAAAATTTTGACAGTGCATGTTATTTGTACTTTACACTTGTGTCATGACTTTGCACTCATTTTACTTAAAAAATGTACACCTTTCAAGCCAATTAGAAGTGCATAATTTTTTTTGTCATGTATAGTTTTAACCAACTTTCTGCATGTGTACAAATAATGCCTGTAATGAACAGTCACAGAAGTCTTAAAGCAATTTGCCATTTTCATTTTTTTTTTGTTATGCTTATCTCATCAGAAATTATTTTTACATCAAAAAAAGATATTGTATCGGATGATTGATGTAGATTACACCTCTTTGAAAACGTTAATTTTTTTTCTTTCTTTTGACAGGTACAGCTTTGATTATGGCAGTATCCACTTCACAATGATGAGCACAGAACACAACTTTACACAAGGATCTCGTCAGTACAAATGGATCGAACAAGACTTAAAGAATGTCAACCGCTCTCTCACCCCTTGGGTAGCAATTGTAGGCCACAGAGCTATGTACTCAAGTCAGAAGGAGGAAGGTAAGTGGGACAAATAGAATTAAGTATCAAGCCCAATAACAAAATAAGAGAGACATCCTATCCATTATCTGAATGATGAAAGTTGTTAGAATAGCATTTCGTTCTTGTGATAGAGATACAGTTTACTGGTATTTATTTATACTCCTGAACGGAGAGAGAGCCATGGAGATACTAATCTGGCTTGGCAAAGAACTCAAAACAGTAACTTAACAAATGCAAAATCCACTTTGGGTGGAGAGAGAACTATAGTAATTGCAAATTTTCCTGGTAAAGAACTCAACACAGTTACTCGGCTAGTCTAAATTCCAGCTCTGGGTGAAGAGAAAGCCATATTGATTATGAATCTTTTTGTTAAAGAACTCAACACAGTTACTTAACAAGTGCAAAATCCACTGTGGGTGGAGAAAAAGCCATAGTGATAACAACTTTCCTCTTTAAATAACTCAACACAGTAAGTTAACCAGTGCAAAATCCTACTCTGGACGTAGGAAAAGCTGCAATGATAATGAATTTTCTTGGTGAAGAACTCAACACAGTTACTTAACCCTTTAACCCCCAAGATCCCATTAGTAATTCTCCTTACTGTCTACCATACAATTCCTATGAAGTTAGTTTGGAGAATTTGAAATTGGATCAACCAGTAATCCCCTAATTGATATTTTTCTTTATTCTCATTACTTGCCTGCTTGATATTGTACTGATGGTGTAAGAGAAATTCTGTCTAGGTCACTAATGGGACTAAAGGGCTAACAAGTGCAAAATCCATTCTGAGTGGAGAAAAAACTGTAGTGATAATAACTTTTCTCTGTAAAGAACTTAACACAGTTACTCAGCCAGTGCAAAATCCATTCTGAGTGGAGAGAGAGCCATTCGTGGTTAATTCTGCTCTTGGCAATGAACTCAACACAGTTAGTTAGCCAGTGCAGAATCGAACTCTGGGTAAAGATAGAGCCATGAAAGAACTCAACACACTTACTTTAACTAGCACCAACCTCCACACCTCTTTTCCTGGAGTCCAGGACATTAATTGTGAGTCCACCACAACTCACACACAGAAGGAAACCTTACAAATTTACTTGAGATACTCACTTTCAAGAGTAGGTGCTGAGTCAGGGATAATTAAGAATAATTTTGTTTCAACAACGGTTTTCATCGGCTAATAAACAGAGGCTCTTATCAGGCTTATTAACAAATCTGCGTGATTTGTAAATAACATCATCAATATGATTATTGTTTTTATCGTCATTATATTCAATATAATTTTAAAATTTTAACCATTGTTTTCCACTTTGTCTTTGTTTTACCTTTGCAGTGGATTACATCGTCTCCCTTGGCATGCAGCACGCATTAGATTCTCTGTTGTATAAGTACAAAGTTGATCTGGCCTTCTGGGCTCATTATCACAGCTATGAGCGCACATGTCCTGTCTACCAGCGTCAGTGTACCCCAGGAGCACCTGTGCACATCGTCGTGGGGACAGCAGGGAAAGAGTTGGATACAGAAGATTATTTTCCTGCGAGCTGGTCGCTGTATCACGAAAGGGACTATGGATATGGCCGGCTGACTCAAGCTAATCGGTCTGCGCTGCTGTGGGAATGGGTTCAGAATACAAGCGGAAAGGTCAAAGATCAAGTGTGGTTGACGAAGTGATAATCATTTTTTATGTGTGCTAACCCTCGTTTGGTATAAAATAGACAATGCAGACTTAAAAATGAGTTTTTAAAACTTAATTATCATAATCTCATTTTCACTTTAATAGCACTGTATAGACTTAAATATGTTTACCGGTAATGCTGTCTTTTGTGGATTGATTAATGGAGAAAGGCGAGATTTCTCCTGAATTAGCAACTGATAATCTACTATAAGACAGAGGGCCAAATTTCGAGCATAAGTGGAATAATCATAACCCAGAGTAAACTGATTTATCTGATGCAATATCCAGAACACACAGAGGTTGGTTATCAGAGACATTCGAAGTTACCGACATTGTAAGCGAGAGGTTGTTCCTCAGACGGCCCCAGCTAGTTGAGGTTACGAGGACTGAACACGAAAAATAACGTTTGTTACCAGTACAGTATAACTCTCTCTCGTAGAAGTGAGTAAGATACTAACCCTTTGATATGTGACGCAGTTGAGTGAATGTTATTAAATTTTTTTCGATTGATTTTTTCATTTAAGGTTGTCTCTTAGTGTTGTTAGTCGGTGCCTGTGCCCTCCGTTCTTGATGCGCGCGCCGTGTGTCTCCTCCCTGCAACCAGGAGCTCGATTCAAGGTTGCCAATAGCCTAGTGCTATTTTCCACGCGGAAGGATCGGACAATTATCGTGCGTTACTCGAGAGGCACAAAACGTGCTTATGCGGCTTCTTTCATGCGAGGTAACGTTTGTCTTGTTGACGACGAAATGTGCGAATTACAAAAAATCGATTTAGAAAGACAATTTTTATTAATTTCGTGTTTTCTAGAAATTGTTTTCCAGAATTAATGAGTTCATAAACTTTGAGATCGAGATCAACAGTGTTTCTCACAGAGTCAGGGATCAGGCCGTATTAAAAAATAACAGGCTCCTGATCATAATAAGACAATGTGCATGTGCTTACAGGTATTTTATTGAGGGCGGCCAATACTGCTGAGCTCTGGTTAGTTAAGAAATCTTTGATAACCATAAGATATGTACAACATTGGCCTGTCTCTGCTTGAATAATGATCTTTAGGCTTCTGTTTAATAATAATCGCTGGAGTAACCAGGGACCAAGCAGAGGGAGGGGCTGGGGGGGCTTTAGACCCCCCCTTTTTTTTGGTAAAAAAACTTGTCTAGCTGAGCATGCCTCAGACCCATGCCTTGTTGGCTAAAGCTTACGCGTGCGTCTTTAGCACCCCCTACTCAAAAATTTGCTGCGCGGGCCCTGATAACACTCGCTATGAAATAAGTTTTCCATTACATTATACAATTACGTAAAATGTAATAAATTTTCAAACGAAGAGGGCCCGAACTTACACTTGCATGATCTGCGATGGGTTAGACAACAGAGTTATGACGATACATGTCATTCGAGATCTATTACATTTTGCGTCGAAAAGTTATTACTACATTTTGCGGTGTAACAGGCATTTTTACGCGAGCCAATGTAAAATTGGCAGCCAAGTGGTAGATACCGGGAGGGGGGGCAGGGGAGGTGAAATTGTCAGCCCGGTTAGCTTTTGGGTTAATAACTACATCAAGCGCAAATTGACGACATTTTAACCCCATCTACACAATTAGAACCGATGAAACCCTGCAAAAAGTACCGTACTAATGAACATTCTCGCCTACCTTATTTTAAAAGGTAACCAAAGTCATCAATAAGTTCTTTTTCAGTGTTCATTTTTGGGTCAAAATATTAAAAAAGTAACGCCGCAAAACTTCAGGAAAAGAATATGAAAATACCGTTACAACACACTACCGGTAACGCCCCCACCCACCCCCGCTTCGAATACGGTCTTCAACACTATGAAGATCACACAATCACTTGCACATCACGCCATCACAGACACATCACGCATCCTTTTCAGGCAGTGACCCTTTCTTCCTCGTTACGCAACAGTGATGATATAAGCTCCGGCGCTGCAACAACCAGAAATTTTAACATGGCAGCTTGGTGGGCTCATCTGTTAGCATATTTTCTTCTTGGCCTATTTTCAGCGACAGAGACAAAGAAAAACCACGCGGTTCCCACTTACTTTAAACGCATAAATCCGGATGGCTCACTGGTAGACGCCGGCAATCTCAAAATTCGTGTAGAGTTTGCGAATCCAACTCGGAGAGATTTTTCCACCGGTGCGATTCTGGAGGTCAATCCCTCTTTGGTGGAAAACAGTGCCACTGTGAATGTTTCTTGGAGTGGAATACAGATGCCTAACAGCACGGATATTATCGCGTTTTATTGCCCTGAAGAGGATCATCCTGATCATTATTTGGACTTGTTTTACGTGACAGACTCGCCAAGTTATGTTTTTGGATATGGCTGGAGGCAGGTCACTGTGCACAATATGAGAACCAGCTGCGAATTCCGTTATTATCAGGAGAAACAAATTCAAGTAGCCACCAGTAATGTGCTCGAATTTAAGGGAGGAAAAAATGCTCCTTTGCAAGGTCATCTGGCCCTTACAGGCGATCCAACACAGATGAGAGTTATGTGGGTTTCGGGAACAGGTAAAATCATTGTTGCGCCGTTTATTTAGTGAAGTGCTTAGCTGTTGATAAACTTTCACTTCCGATCCTACTTTTCGCCGAACGCTTACTACTTCTTGAACTTGCAACGATGACTGTGCAAGTGATCGGCACGAAAAAGGGGCTGGGCATTGAAGGTTATGATCATAAGAGGTGCTGAAATTAAGAATTTGTTCATGGTTAGCGAGCGTATATCGAGTTATGGATGTACGCGGTTTGGAGAGCACGAAAAATGTGAAAGAGTAGCTCGAGGCACAGCCGAAAGCAACTCTAGCTTTTTGAGTCCTCTCCAAACTTTCTAAGTGCATCCATAACTTGATAAAAGCACAGCTAAAAGCATGAGCAAATTCTTTTATAACAGAGCGACAAGGATCCGCGCGAAAAAGCCTTTTATTGTGATAGAGTGCAAAATTCTCACAACGCACAAAAAAAAGTAAACAAACGTCCCTATTGGCTGGTCAAAAACACGCCACATTTTTATACTTTGGTTTGAGCAAGGACATCTTGATCCAGTTAACCTGTAACTGTAAATGAAAAGCTCAAAATTTACGGGGAAAATAGAGAAAATCAAAGCCAAATGAACTCAAGTGTCACCAAAAAATGTTTTAAAAGTCAAAGACCCGAAGTTATCAAGAGTTTAAACTGTTTTGATTGGTTAAAATAATGTTTACGCTGCCGTGCACGGTGCAATTGGAGAAAACAGACTGCAGGAAACTTGCAGTTTTCTCCTGGGCAACCACCACGCTGTTATTTTGACGAACAGTTATGGCTGCAGCAGAAACTCTGAAGCCAGGTAAAAGAAATGCCCACGTCATCTTATTTACGCACGGGCGTGTGTAAATAAAGATTTTGTTCATAGCGGCTAAATAGGACTTATATAGGGCAAGCACGCGCGCTATGTTATAAGATATGTTAATCAATGGACTCGTAATGATTAGTCGTGTCACGTGACCTCACCTGATGTGCAGTAAGCATTTACGTTCATATCTCCCAAATGGACGCGATCGATCACACGAGTGATTCTCATTCACAGTTAGAGGTGGAGGGGACCTTAACATAACGATTGTGTGCGCTTGAATGTCGTGACTCTGCGCCCTTGATTTCTTTGATAACCTTACTTTGTACCTTAGGATGGCTGACAGCTACTGAGACTGTCAAATTTAGGGAAAAAATTATTGGTTATCCTGATAGAGAAAAGTTATTGCATTGTTCTTCACTCTATCTTGATAAATTTCTTTAGCAATTGTTGAAGGATGACGAGAATGTGGCAGCGTCGTAAGCAAACCACCGCTGTACATCTTCCTAGGAAAATTTTACTATGGTCGTGCATCTCTCATTTAAATCTCATCATTTGCGTCTTCGTAATACTGAGATGGTTTTTTTTCAGATGAAACTCCGGTTGTATACTATGGAAAAGATCCCTCTCTGCTGAAGTTCAGGGCCACAGGCACCTCAAAGACATACCAAAGGAGCGATATGTGTGGCCCACCGGCGTCGTTGTGGATATGTTTTAGAAATCCTGGCTACATTCATGATGTTCTCTTGACAGGATTGACTCCCTCTATACAGTATTTCTATTCGTACGGATCATCGGAGGTTTGTTGGTAACTTTAAAGAGAAACTCAGAAAAAAAATGAACCCTAGAGACTCTCGTGAAATTTTTTCCGATGAGAAAGCCAATCGGGGAACAGAGAAGTAAACCGCAAACAGGAACGGTAAAGAGTTTGTGGTTCTTGGATTTTTCTGCATGCCCTGAACTTTTTTGTAATTCTACGGTACATAACTGATTTTTCATAATCATACTCAACGAGTTCATGCGTTTCTCAGTACGAGGATGTGAGATTTTGCAGTTAGGTGTTCCAACACTAACGTCTTACTGGTCTTACTGGTATTTTTCGAGCATCATAGCTGGGGATTTTCCATTACACCATCAACGCCCTCATACGCCTCTCTCCCTCTTTGTCAGCTACTTCTCACATCTAATACACACCTTCCTCGAACTTCAAGTTTCTAAATAGGCCCCTTGCCTTCCTCCTCCACCCGCATAAAGGACACTATTGTAGTACTTGTACTGTCATTCATTTTGACTAGATAACGTTTCAGGTTTTTACATCGTACATTTTCAATCGTAGAGAAGCATAATGCTTTTATGATATGCGTGAAATGTAGGCGGCAATTCCTTCCCTTCTCTGGAAGCCCTCGAAATACACGAGCTCCGACCCCGAGGGATTTCTGAAGTGTTTGCACTTATAATTACTTATCATAACTTTGACCGAGAGGGGGTCCTATGCACCATAGGCCCCATTAGCCACGCCTCCGCTTGTCTTAATTAATTCTGATACAGGGAGACGTTGTGACAAACGACACGGGGAAAAGATCCCACGAAATGAACTTGAGGGAAGATTTGTGTGAAAGAGTTTTCACCTTATTTCCTACGATTTCTCCATGGTTTTATCTCCTTGTGCAGATAATGAGCCCTGTGCGCCACTTTCGTTCAGCTCCCGTCACAGATCCAGATGCGTCCTTTAAATTTGTAGTTTATGGAGACATGGGGATCACAGCCATCCCTGGCGCGCACGATACAGCTAAGTACATGGTTGAGGAAGCCAAGAACGGAAGCTCACTTGTTTTCCACATTGGTGACATTTCATACGCTGTTGGAATTGTAAGTAAATTTAAAAAAGCGTAAGCATCCGAATTTTGAAGCAGAATTAGTCCGCCGTTATGCAACTGAAAACATGTCAACAAACAACTTGTCTAGTTATCTGTTCATCGAACAGTAGGGGGGCCCACAATCAGCGCTAAAATTAGTTGACACATCATGTTTGTACAGTCCTATTTATGCGTAGAATAACACTCCTGTTTCTAACACACTCTAAATCATTGACAAGACCTCCCCCCCCTCTCTCTCTCCTCCATTCAATGTTGCCTTTATGTAGCTAAAAGTTCATGGAATCACAATACAGCGTTGTTTTGGGATAAAGGGGGCGGATAGGTTAACTTAACAAGACCAAAGAGATAAAATTGAAGGAACAGGGGGGTTGAAAAGGTCAATGCGTCAACAATTTTGTTGCCGATTGCAGGTTCTTCGATCAAACTGCATCAAAACACGTATGTATAAACGCGACATGTACACCGACAATATGTTTTTTTACCCCTAACTCCATGCGGCCGCACTCACTTGTAGTATTATCGATACTACATGTTTGTGAGGACACGGAAGGAAGATATAGAAGGCCTAAGATAAATAAACTGAGAGCATCAAACAACGGGTGCCATGATGTCTCATGCAACGTAGGTTTCTGTACATACCTACGTCACGATATATAGACCATTTTTAGCATCATAGAAAAGAACATTTGAAGAGAGAGTTATCTTTACCAACAGTTTGCCGGGATGGACAATGACTGAGGAAGTGAGAATAAACCAGAAAAAAAATAGAAAAGATGGCGTGGGATGGTGGTGATCAGCATGGATTGAATCCAGAAATATTTTAGTTTCATTTTTCAAGACGTAGTAGACCATGACGTAGCTCCTATAGAACCATGTAACTTTCAAATTTCCTGTCTTTGTGTATCAGGCCTATATCTGGGAACTATGGCACGATCTCATCGAGCCTTATGCTACATTGATGCCATACATGGTGGGCGTGGGAAATCACGAACAAGACCATATCTTTGGAGGTTCCAAGGACCCTAGTGGTGCCCCGGGTGATGGCTGGCACCCTTGGTGGGGAAACTATTTGGATGACTCAGGGGGAGAGTGTGGAGTGCCTATGTTCTACAGATTTCATATGCCTGACAATGGAAATGGACTTTGGTGGTATGTCGTCAGTCTTACATTTTACCACTTCTATCATAATTACCACGCATTGTTGATGTCTTCTCTTGTCAGTCGAAGTTGTTCCAAACCATGTACATATCCTTCAGGTTGGGAGCATTCGAAGATGTTGTTATTTTCTCAGAGTTTAAAAGTACGGGCGCACATCGCCGCGCACCTTTACACTAAGGACGAGATGAATAACCATGATGATGATGATGATGATGAGGATGATGAGGATGATCATCTCTTCCCTTGCACACATCAAATAGCAACTTGTTTATTGCAGTAAATCATATTTAACTTAACCGCCGGCAGCTATCTTCTTGAAACTTTCTTGAAAGGTTTTCCATCATTTACTGATTCCCTTCGCGTTCAATTATATTGACCATCAGCCATTGCAGTTGGAAGGGTCAAATTCTTCCACAAGACTTGCACTCTCTGTATGATAGGGAGATTTACGATCCTGATCATTACGATTCGTCCTGGTCACCGCTACTGTTTTGATATTACAGGTACAGCTATGAATATGGAAGCGTTCATTTCATTATGATGAGCACCGAACATGATATCAGACCCGGATCAAGGCAGTACACTTGGCTGGAAAATGACTTGAAGAAAGTTGATCGCAATATAACACCTTGGATTGTGCTGGGAGGACATCGACCAATGTATACAAGTCAGAAAGTGCTGAGTAAGCACTTATGATGTAGATTAAAAATTTTTGTTGCCAGAATCCCGAGATGCCAATACTAATTCAGCACATACCACGCATCTAAGACACCTCTCAGATATTTAGGAAACACGCTCATTCACTGAACATGAACTTTGGTCCGAAATGGAAAAAGCAGTACTATAACCCTTTTCAAAATCTATCACTTCCATAAGATAGACGCCAAATTTTGATAACGACCTTGCCATTCCTGAGGGTGTCCAATGAATAAGAAAGGATGATATTAATACATTCGTGTAGAGGTCAGAGGTTTCTTTGAGGAATCAAACGTATGATCCTCCGCTTTGTACCACCTGTAGAATGTTCTACCATCAGACTCATGGAAGCTCTAGCTCCGCCGAGTTTTCTTTCGCGAGATTAGTGTTCGGTTTTCCATTGACTTATAACCATCCTTTCTCCTAGGGGACTACATTGTGTCAAGAGGCTTGCAGTATTATTTGGAAAACCTCTTCCACGAATATCAAGTGGACCTTGCCTTCTGGGGACACTATCACAGCTACGAAAGAACATGCGCAGTTTACAAGCATCAATGTCAGGAGGATGGAATTGGCACAACACACGTGGTGGTTGGGTCTGCTGGGTTTTGGTTGAATTTACAAGGCTATTGGGATGTGAAATGGTCACGTTTTCAAGAGAATGACTTCGGATATGGAAGAGTCCTTGTGGCTAATAGGTCAGCATTGTATTTTGAATGGGTCCGAAATAAAGACAAGGTTGTCCGTGATAAAGTTTGGTTGATGAAACCAGATCGAAAAAGTGGAGATAATGAAGTATTGAGATATCGAAAATTATAAAACTGTTAATTGTTGTTGAGGTCAAGCATACTTGTCACGAATTAAGAATTTATTTCATAGAATTTTACAGCTCGTTGTTTTCATAAATAATATTGTCGTATACCTTTGCTTGAAAGCCTTGAAAGTGACAACGGTATTGATAACGATGAGAATAATTAATCTTTTTTAGAAAATAAAATTCACTGAAAATGTTCACAAAATATTTATATCACATTACTGATTAACTCTGGGGAGAGTGGAAATCATAAAAGGAAATTATGCTGTGATTCGCTGACCAGAATTTTGTTGTGCAACCAAATATAATCATGTGGAAACTTTACCATTCGCATAGCTTGGTAATCTCGTTATGGCTTGAATCTTTTTTTTCTTTACTGGTTCTTGAAAAGAGGAATCAGCACTAACTTTGCAGCTGTAGATTTTGCTTTCGATCGATTGGCATTGATAAATTGCTATTTTCGGGTCTAGTATGAAAAAGGTAAAGCTGAAATGAATATGGTGTGTCACGGTCAGTGGTTTGAATTCATCGAAATAACGAAATTTAGTTAGTCGAGAAGTTGGTGTGAGTTTTCGTTTAATCAATCACAAAGCGATGTAAAACAAAGCGAAGTCATTGATGATTAAAAATTAACCGACAAAAAGTCTACTACTTGTTACATCACAGCAAAGTGCAGTTTCACTCATCGGCTCTACGTGTGTTTGTTTTTGTCGGAAGACAGTGCTTCCGGTTTTTAATTTAACTCAATTTGAATGGTTACCAGCTCATTTCTGGAAATGCAGTGACGCGCAACTGATCAGGGGGTGCTTTACTTTCTCGGTACTCCTGGGAGTTACTACATCACGGGCGACGAGCGGGGATAGAAAAAACGACCCAAATATGAGCGGTCAGCGGTGAAACAGCTTTTATACTTCATATAGAGACATATAATTTGTTGTTCCAGAGACAATCGTGTTGTAAAGCCGAAATGTTAACAGTTTACTTCACAGTTTAAGCAATTTTTCAAAAGTGTTGATTGAACTCATATCTTTTACTGCTTTAATAAACAACGGAGGCTTCGGAGAGGGAGTCAGTGGCATTTGGAAAGGCACCAAGAATAATTATATATATGGTTTGTAGCTAGCTGCGTGACGAAAAAAAAGTATCATGATTTCCGGTTGTCAAAAATGTCAATCAAATTTGGCAGGAACTTGGTTTTCGCACTGAAGTTTGCTTTTCCTGGAAGATTTTGCCATGGATGAAGACCAAAAGCCAACAATGTTAAGAGATTTAGAGATCGACTTTTTGAAAGAACATCTCAATGGCTTTTCTGTTGAAGGCAATTATTGTTTTGGATATTTCGAGGGAAAGATAGATTTTCACGAGCGTCAATGGTGCAGAATCGTAACTTGATGGAGCCAACAGTGGACAACATCCCAGAATTCAAACTTTGTGATTTTTTTCTCGGCTTAAACGCTAAGTCAGTTGTTCAATTGAATAGGAAGAAAAACATTTCGAATGGAAAACAGCATTATTTGCGCGTGTGGATCTTTTGAGAAAAGGTCTCCTAAACGAGTGGTCTTGATTGTAAATATTTAAGGAATGGTAAATACATTAGCCTTAACATGGCTGTTTCTCGAAGCTCAGTGTTTTCCTACTTGCCTTTTTTCCACGTGAATTGGGGGCGATTGAATAGATATAATATGCAGTAAAAGAACTTCAGCTGATAGAAATTTTAAATTTCTCATCTTAGGCTGTGGATACAAAATTCAAGTGAAAAGGAAGCCAACTGTGATTAATGCTTTGAACAAGTCAAGATACGTTTTTTTCGTCACACAACAAGTTACATAACGTGAATATCATTCTTCTTGATGCCTTTCCCGGTGTCACCAATGCCTTTCCCGATGCCTCCGTTGGTTAATAAAGCATTTAAAGTATTGTTCCAGTTAAAGCTTGAGGAAAATTGCTTAACTTTTTAAGTAGCGAAGTGTAACTTGGTAACATTTCGGCTTTACAACACGATTGTTTTCTGCAACTACAAAACGTACATTTAATTCTTCTTGGTACCTTTCGGATGCCACCGATGCCTTCATTGTTTATTAAAGCAGTAAAAGATATATGTACAATCAACACTTTTGAATTGCTTAACATTTTATTTAGCGAAGTAAACTGTTTACACTTCGGCTTTACAACACGATTGTTTCCTGATACTACAAATGATCTGTCTATATATGACTTATGAAAGTTGTTTCACCGCTGACCACTCGTATTTGGGTTGTTTTTTCTATCCCCGCTCGTCGCCCGTGATGTAGTAACTCCCGGTACTCCTCCTTTCCCCGCCCCTTATCCCTACCGTCCACTCTAACTCCAACATGGCCGGTAGGATAAACGATCGCGAGCTAATTACATTAGCAGTAGTTTTTCTCCTATGTACATTTTCAGGTGCAGAGGCTAAGGGCCACCACGAAGTACCCACGTACTTTAAACGGATCAATCACGATGGTTCTCTAGTAGACGCTGCGAATCCCCAAACCCGAGTGAAATTTTTGCATCCAATTCAGAGTGATTTTTCCTCTGGTACTACTCTAGAGGTCAATCCATCCGTGGTTGAAAACGGCGCCACTGTGAATGTCTCCTGGAGTGGAATACAGCAGCCTAATGAAACAGACTTTGTTGCCTTTTACTGCCCCAAAGATGATCCATTCGATCATTATTTGGACTACTTTTACGTGACGGAGTCACCAAGTTATGTCTCTGGATTCGGCTGGTGGCAAGTCACTGTGTACAATATGAGAACTAGCTGTGAATTCCGCTATTACCAGAAGAGTTATATTCACATAGCCACCAGCAATGTGCTGAAGTTCAAGGGAGGAATTTATGCTCCTCTGCAAGGTCATCTAGCTCTTACAGGCGATCCAACGCAGATGAGAGTTATGTGGGTATCAGGAACAGGTAATCAGTTTTTGTTCTTTGTACATGTATTTACTTTTTTTTTTTTTCAAATAGAGAAAACACTGAATGGCACTCTGATTCAGTATTCTCGCCTCAAACAGTTGATAAAGACGAAAAGCAGGGAAATATAAGTCACAAGATTGCGAGTAGATCGGCGATTCCACTCAGGAAATAAACAGATCTTTTCGAAACGCATGATGATCACCTGATAGTCAACGTCTTGTGATTATCAGGTGAGCCTTGCTATTTCCGGCGGCGTGATCTTAAACGTGACTCTCTAACACTATGGCGGATTACCTTACTTCTGCTTCGGTTTCCCAGCAAAATCGAATTGGAAAATAGCAAAAAGTATTGTCTTTTCTTTTTGCCGATCCTTTCTATTTTCCAACTTGTAGTTAGAGAAATCACATGTTAATGCATGGTGTGTGTGATGTGGAACGCAATCAGGCGCTTCTTTAGATCTACAAAGAGACATCGGTTTATCTAAAAATATCTCGTGGAACGTATAGAATATCAGTTATGTAACACAGGGACCGCGCAGCAAGTTTTCGAGTGGGGGGGGGGGGGGCTAAAGAAGAATGCGTGAAGGAAAATTTTTTTGTTATATTTTTTGTTTAATTTATTTTATTCTTGCAAAAAAATAAAGCCCCCCCAGCCCCTCCCTCTGCGCGGTCCCGGCAACAGTAAATCTGTTGTGCACATTCATTGATCACCCTAATTCCGATTAGAGGTCCAGACTTCAGCTATTTCACTTACAAATATCTTCGCCTCTAACTATATCCTGAAATGTTAACCTTGTAACCCCTAGGAGTGGCTGGCCTTTAATTCTCTTTACAGCATCACCCTTGAATTATATATAAAGGGCATGAGAATAAAGGAAATGATCATCAATTTCAGAAGCTCCTGATTTCAATCAAATCCTCTTTGTCAGTACCATAGAAAATGTAAAGAAAAAAATGTTGAAAATATAAATAATAATGTTTATGTTTCGGTTGAAGAATGAAAGAACGAATAAACGAAAGAACCAAAGAAAGAGGAAGTGTAAAAATCAAATAGTTTACGAAGGGGCAAATAATAAACCAATGAAATAAATGAGAAGGGCGGAATTGATAACTTTATTTTCAGTACTCGTGGTTCTTCTAATTCACGTTTTTGTGACTTTGTACTTGCTTCAGATGATCCACCAGTCGTACACTATGGAACACGCCCTTCTTATCTGGGTTCAATAGCTACAGGTACTTCCAAGACATACAAAAAAACCGACATGTGTGGACCACCAGCTTCTTTAAGTGGTTTTTCGAATCCTGGTTTCATCCACGATGTTCTAATAACAGGACTGATTCCATCCACCCAGTACTTTTATTCGTACGGATCATATAAGGTCTGTTTCTGATTTAAAAAGCCTGCTAGAGTTTGCAAATTACACTTTGCATTTGAAAGAGGGAATCCTATTGCCATTGAAACACAATCAAATCGCAAATTCACTGCCATGGGTTTTTAAGGGGAAATTTGTATCATGCATGGGTGGTGTAAGTCTTGACAGATTTGAGGTGCAGATGCAACATTTTAAAGAGCGTGCCACGATCTCAATCCCTATTTCTTTTTTTTTTAAATTGAATTTCGCTTTCGAGGGCCCATGCTCGTTGTCGTTACCCTCCTGGTGATCCCGTAAGAACAAGTACACTGTACACGAAACACATGTTTCTTCGTAAGCACTGACAGATTTTTCTTCCGGACGGTCTCCCATCGGAATTTTAACGAGAACCGTAGCGGGGTACCGTAAACATTCTGCGTGGGATCCCGGCGGGATACCGTAAGAATCCCGTCTGAGATCCCTCCCGGATCCCGGAGGGATACCTGTGCGACGACACCACCCTAATCTTGTCAGTATTTTGGAGCTCGGAAAGGTTATTCGCGAAAAAAGATGGCCAGTTTCTTGTACTGGGTTCCTACATTCAAGTTTTCCTTTTCTTGTTTAGATGATGAGCGATGTGCGCCAGTTTCGCTCGGCTCCCGTCCCAGATCCTGACACTTCCTTTAAGTTTGTAGTTTATGGAGACATGGGGAACACACCCCTCCCTGGTTCACACGATACAGCAAAGTACTTGGTAGAGGAGGCCAAGAATGGCAGCTCACTTGTATTTCACGTTGGTGACATCTCATATGCTAGAGGATACGTAAGTGGCTTTTAATATTCCCTGCAAATTTTTCTTGAAAACTTTCTTAGGCCTTACGCTATACTCTCAGTTTTTGCCGAGAGAAAACGAGGGTACCCCTTTGTTGTCTTGTTTAGTTTAGTGATGGCAGCCGGCAGCATGAAGGTTTTCTTGGAGGTATCTAGCGATAGGCCGAGTCAGGTCACATATTTCAAAAGTACTACTAAAAAGTATCATACCGGTCATTTTCTTCTCCGTTACACGACAGGATAAAAAATATTTTACAAAGTTGAAGAAGCTGATAATGAAAAATCAACTGTATGATAATATGCACATTGTTCTGATCAAAAATAGACTTCATAAATATGGTATTATTCAGGTCTATAAGGATGGGAAAAAGTAACGTTCGAAAATTGTCAACATAAAACTGTAATTTCACCGAGTTGTAGATTTATCCAACATGATGATAATCCGACTGATAAATAGGGAGATGCGGGTATTATCTTCGAAAAAACGGAGCTAAATTTCAGGCTTTTGTTCCTCCGAAAATAATAAATTTTGAGCAATTTTTGGAGACAAAAAGTTTTTTTATGGTAAACTCACAGCAAAGGGAAAAGACTAAACCAAACTGTGACGAGGACGGTTAGAGATGAAGAAGATTTAGATAGATTTCAAACGATTACCTTGATAAATTTCGACGAAATTTTTACCGAACAAACCGTAACAAACCGCTCCTTCAACCCCTTAATTTTTAAGATTCAACAATTAATTCTCCTCTCTGACTTTCATACATTTTATTGTTAATTAGACAAAAGAATTTGGCGTTATATAACATAACACGATTAGGTTGTGTGTTCTCCTCACCTGTCTGGAGGAAAATGTATCGACACGGTAGGGAGAATTTGCGTGTCAATCGCCCCTGGGAGTTGATGGCTTTTGTCAAGACTATCAGACTGACTGTAAATCGCCCTTCTGTATTTTTTGCAAACAGGCCTACATCTGGGACCAGTGGCACGAACTTATTGAGCCTTATGCAACTATAATGCCATATATGGTGGGCATAGGGAATCACGAGCAAGACCATCTTTCAGGAGGCTCTAAAGACCCAAGTGGTGCTCCGGGAGAAGGCTGGCACCCTTGGTGGGGGAACTTTGGCGATGACTCTGGGGGAGAGTGTGGAGTGCCTATGTACTACAGATTTCACATGCCTGACAACGGAAATGCAGTATGGTGGTACGTGTATTGAGGTTTCCTTTCTGTTAAATCTGTTGTCTCTCCTATCAGACATTATGTAACGAAGCTATTTCTCTCTCTACAACTTGGGGCACTAGTTGTGCATGACTCGTGAAATCTCAACGGTAGCACGGTAGCCCGTCCAAAAGGGTAAAAAACAAAACCATTTACCAAAACACAGATCAAAAGGGTCAACGTAAGCCATTCATTCCGTCATCCAAAACTTTTGCCTTCCTTTTTTAACGAATGAAAATCATAGAAACAAAAAAACAAAACCTTAATGCGAAAGCCAAAGACGAGTTTCTCCTCCACACTAGGTTGGAGTTTGAATCACTTTTTGTCCGGCGCCTCTGTGTTCTAGTTTTTTTTTTCGGTATTATAGAGAGACTTAAACTCCTGGTCACCGCTACTGTTCTGATATTACAGGTACAGTTATGATTATGGAAGCGTTCATTTTATTATGATGAGCTCTGAACATGATATCAGACCCGGATCAAGGCAGTACACTTGGCTGGAAAATGACTTGAAGAAAGTTGATCGGAATAAAACACCTTGGATTGTGTTAGGAGGACATCGACCGATGTATACAAGCCAAAAAGTAGTAGGTAAGAAATTAAAATGGATATAATAGCACTGGTACACATACACAAAGATATTTTTACCAAGATTTTCGAAAAGGATTGACAGATGGAATTGGGCCACAAGGAGATAAATTTCTTTTCAATAATGCCTCTCACATCTATCCTTTGCCTTATTAGACGACTTCATAGTGTCACTTGGCATGCAGTATTATCTGGAAAACCTTCTTCACAAATATCAAGTGGACCTTGCCTTTTGGGGACATTATCACAGCTACGAGAGAACATGCGCAGTTTACGAGCAGATCTGTCAAGAAGAAGAAGGACTGGGGACTACTCACGTGGTTGTGGGCTCGGCCGGGTATGCGTTAGATACGGAAGGTTTCTGGGATTTCTCATGGTCTCGCTTCAGAGAGAATGACTTCGGATATGGAAGAGTCCTTGTGGCTAATAGGTCAGCATTGTATTTTGAGTGGGTCCGAAATAAAGACAAGATCGTACGCGATAAAGTTTGGTTGGTGAAACCGCACCTTCATGATGAGTATAACACCGTTGCTTATCACTTAAAAAAGAAGTTATCATTGTAAATGCTGCTGAGATCTGCGAACGATGCGATCGAGGTTCACCAAGTTACTTTTCTGGGAACAAATTTAAAGTCTGTGTGTGAGATTCGTACACAAGCGCTCTAACTGGTTGATTTTAAGCAATGCTGTATGTCTTTTCTGTATTATTGCTGTGATGATTGCGCAAAGGGGAGATAAATGTTAATGGAAAAATGTTCTGTTTGTCATATCTCATTAGGGAAAAAATCGCAATCTTTAATTTTCTGTTTTTTCCCATTTTTTTATTCCCGTATAGTTTACACTTTTGATTGCAAAATAAACTTTTCCAGCAAGTTTTCAGGTCCCAGCACCCTTATCACTGCCATGCACCTTAGCTTGTGATTACACTCCGTTCGAATCTCCTCACCTGTCAAAGAAGGATGGTAAAACATTGAGAGCAAGTCAGTAGGAATAAGGATACCTATACAAAAGTAGCTAAGAACCTATGCAAAAGTAACCAATGAGATTTATCTTTCATTTGATATCTCAACAAGTCATGGACACGACTTTGAAACGTAAAAAACATGGTGAAATGTCAAAACTTACACCAATTTACGATTCTTGTTCAGTGGGCATGCGAGACGGGCTATTGGATTCACGAGTTTTTTAAGCTTCTGGAAGGATGGCTCGTAGAATACATCGCTCTCCTTACTGGCGATGTCACTTAACTCCTTACGTTGCTGCTTTTGTTTCTTGGCGTCGTACCCCTGTCCCTGAACGCCACAAGCTATTACGTGAGAGATTGCTTTTAGAGCAAGCGCTGCCCTTTTTAATCTTTTCTTGTCACTGTTATTTGTAACGCCGTCAGTAAAGACCATAACTTCCTGAGGGGATATAGAAGAAATGTACCGCAGCAATAAAGAAGAATTTAGCTACTCCATCTTTTAAATTTCTCAATTACTTTACCAAACAAATTCAAGATTAGATTCTCCTTCCCTGATTGTACCATTCCATCGTTTTCCCTTTGGACTATACGTGACCAGTACCTTTCGTGACATACAGATAGCCACTTTAAGCAACAATCTCCATTAGCGAAGCAGAAAACTCGGGAACTGAAGGGCAAAAGCCTCAAAGGAAACGAAGATTATAAAAAAAGTTGCTGAAATTCCCCTAAAAACACCCAATATTCTTATCTGTCATGATAACCTTTAACCCCCCCTCCCTCCCCCGCTAAGCTAACTTTCTCATGCTGTTCGTCATTTATCTCTGAATCCTACAGATGAAAATGATCAATACCTTATAATGTTTTATAATCTTGTGATTAACCCTTCTCTTAGAATTGCGCAGCATTCTGGCCGCCAAATTCAGGGCCTTTCCAGTTTTCGTTCCCCCTTGAGAGTAATACATTCTTGAAATACTCCTCTGAAGTTCCAGAAATCCCCGTTGCTGTGATTTGTGAAGTGAAAAAATTCTTCTTGCAGTAGTAGCGTATTGAACGATAGCAACTCGAGCGTAAGATTCACTGACGGAGAAATGGCGGACGAGCTTGAGTAAAACATCTTTCATCGTGTTAAAGTTTTTCCTTCCAATACTTCCAGACGAGTCGACAATAAAAACTATGTCCACAACAGTGGTACAATCTAAGATTATGGAAGAAATAGAATAACTCAGGGGCGTAGCCAGCTTTCCGAATTGTTGCAAGCCTGTTTGCTAAGTAGACCCTGTAATGCGCTGTACTGGATTTATTTCTTTATTTATTTATTTATTTATGTATTTATTCTCACACAGTCTGACCCTCAAAAATGGAAAATTCTTGACATTGCAACTGCCAATGTGGTAACTGTCTTGTACATGGTAATCGCTGTATGGTTTGACAGCATATTCAGAGATCTGGAATGGTGCTAACCTAGTGCTTTAACGTTACGAGATTTACTCTTGCTGCTTTTTCGTTCGATTTTTGTTTCCATATTTGCAAAAGTCATATCATAAGAGTCAACCGGGTAGAAAAAAATTGCAGGCCTGGGCCTACGAGCCCATGGAATGGCTACACCCCTGAAAGTTCTCTGACTGTAAACCATATTCTGTGATAACCAAGCTCTTGTTGAGAATTTACTTTTTAAAAAAGAGTTTGTGAACAAAAGTTCTACAATAAGGATCAATCGACATGCTGGATGACAAAATTATTTGTCGTACACACCAAGCCATGGTTAGAGTCTTGGTCAATCACAACTGATCATTATTCACACTGACCTGGGCAACCTTCATAGTTTTTGCCAAGAGCTGGCATAGCTCTGTCAGGACAACACCCATACGCTGCAGGAAAGTAAATGGGACATTTTGTTACGTCATACATGACCGATTGGTTACTGAGCGAGGAAATAATGAATGTTTTCGTATTTCTCCGTCCTTAGAAACTTATTTCAGGCCGAAAACCTCACGCCCATGCATCTTTTTTTCTTCCGCGAAATGGTCTCAGGAAAGGCTTTCCATGTTAAAAATCACTTCAACTAGTGAAAAAAGATGTTCAGGTGTTGTAGGAAAAAAAATGCATCAAATGTTTTAAAAAGTAGATTTACGAAGAAAATACCTCAATACTCCCTTTAGAACTTGGTGATTATTTGGTCAAAACTTGAATTTTGATATTTGATTTAATCGGTGCCTTCAGTTTTGGCTGATTAGTCTTCTTTTGTTAAATCTGTTGAGGAGAGATCAGCGATCCCGAGATGACTGAACACAAGCGAATAATGTTTAACATCATCCACAAATTATTGACATACCTCAGGGCAGCACTTGTACGTGTAGAAATTATCAATGTACTGACCTGATCCACATCTACCCTTGTAAACAAAGTTAGCCCAATAAACACCGGCGCCTCCGGTACACCTCATCGATTTTCCATAACTGTTGTAAGTCTCACAGGCAGTAACGGATCCCCAGCATTCACCGTAAAACTGAACACCAAAGCACAGGAATCCTTTGGCTTGGGCAGCCTGTGCGCATCTCATTATCGGGTCCCTGAAGTTGTTTAATCTCCAGTCGATCCTTCCACGGCTGTTAAAGTACAGTGTCTCTATATCGCGAAGCTTGGGTTTTTTCCAGGCTAACGGACCTTTGTCTTGGTAGCATCCCAAGGGGAAAAACCAAAAAGGTATTTCTGGAGATCATAAACAGAAAGAGACAAAAAGGAGATCAGGAATCGGAAATGTAAAAAAGAAAAAGGAAGAAAATCTAGATAAAAAAAAAGTTGAGAAAAGGTGGAAAGACGGTGAGGGATATTTGAAAATCAGAATCAAAAAAGAGTGAGATCAAATGAAAGTGAAGGAGGGAAAAAAGAACTAAGGAAGGAAAGAAATAGGAAGACTCCGAGGGGAGAGAAAGATGAACTGATAATCATGTTGAATAAAACAATAGTTTCGTGATTACGACCTGAGCCTAATTGCAATATGGACGAAATATGTGCACGAAGTAGTTAAGAAGTGCAATGAGTAACACGTGCTAAACACACTTGTCAATGGCCGCCTTTGAGGTTGACAAATAAAATCTTGATAAAAATACGAAAAACGGGATGAAGTCATTTGTTATGGCAGGCAATCTTACCTTTCTCTGAAAACAGATTCTTAGCTGGCCTGTTTTTTGGGTTATTCTTACTCGTGTTATTTTTATTGCTTCCTCCTTTATTCTTCTTTGTCGGGAGCTCCTCCTGACCCTCTTCCCCTGGCCTGCCTGTTGGGGCGGGTGTGGTCTTGTTCTTGTTTTTGTTTTTGTTTTTATTTTGGTTCTTGCCTTTACTACGCTTTTCTATTTCATCGTACAGCTCTGGGGCCAACCACCTATCTTGAGCGTTATCGTCTAGTTGGTCGTCATCCTCAAGATTTGCTAAATCATCGATTTCCTGATCCTTCTTCGTCATGCTTACATCAGAAACGCTTTCCTCTCCATTACCAAGCTCGAATACGGTAAGCGAGAGTAACAACACTGTAAATAGAAGGCACCGCATAGTGCCCCTCGCCTAAAAGGAACCATGTCAATCTCGTGAACTTTAAAAACATTTCGAAACAGTTAGGTAAACTTAGAAAAACAAGACGGTAGGTGTGCGTGGCAGACTTATCGCACCATTTATTGACTTATTTCATCCAAGTAATTATCAGACCAGGCGAAACGTAACTAGAAAGTCACTTAGTTCCATGTTTTTTTTCGAGTTGTTTGTGGTTAGATCAGTGCTCTGGCAGTGATTTATTGCTTGAATTCGCCAGGCAGCACAAGTGATCGAGCGGGAAGTTGCAACTCGGCCTCGGTTTTTACGAAAAATGGTCTTAAATCTAACACTCCTTATGCAAGGGGTAACGTTTCTTTAAATTTCTGCAAGGTAAACGTATGAAAGATGTTTTTGACGAACAAGAGTCAGTAAAAATTACCTCAAAGATAAATAAAAGCCTTTATACAGGCCCAAGTGGCCCATGGGGCCGGCGCCTAGCTCCGGTTTCCTTTAGCATGAAGCGGCTAGGAGTATTGCTACTCCCCCCTGGATGGGATGCTAGTCCATCGCAGGGTTGCCCCCAACATATTTGCTGGTACCCATTTGTACACCTGGGTGAAGAGAAGCACTGTTAGAGTAAAGTGTCTTGCCTAAGAACACAACACAATGACCCCGGCCAGGGCTCGCACCCGGACCACTCGATCCGGAGTCGAGCGTACTAACCACGAGGCCACCGCACCTCCTTCAAAGATAGGGCGTAACATTAAGTACACAGAAGCTTCTATTAAAGAAGTTCGAAATCGAAAATTCGCATCGTATTACTTCTGATCAATTATTGCTAGTTTTAAGCGCACTTGCCGAATTGATTTTAAACACAAGCATTGGCGACAGTAGTGGCCTGAAACAAAAAAACTTGGAAAAAACTGCAGCCTGCTTCTAAAACGGCATGTTTTGGCCAACAGCAGTTGTTTAGAGAGACCACGTTAGACTAAACTCACAAATCAATGTGAAAAAGTCAATTTAAGAAAAGCAGAAAAAACAAAAAAATAAAACCAGTTCCTACAGACCTTTCCTTCTTTTTTGTTCCAGCTATCAAGGATTCCAGCGAAAAGTGAAAAGCATTTAACTTTATGTACGCAATTTAACAAAAAAAGTATGCTCGTATCCTCGTAACAAAAACCTTCTATTCAGCTATCTTAAAAGCAATCCCTTTGTACTGTTTCTTTCACAATAATAGTAACAATTTTA